CTAATCTCTATATCAGGCCTTCTCATCCACCCTCGATTTCTCTTTCTCCCTCAGTAAGGAGACTAATGCCCCTATGTCTTTCAAGGCTCTCATTAGTGCCCTCCCCCAAGGGTGAGTTCTCTCTCCTGGTTCAACAAGGAGAACATCTTAGCTGTCCTTCACTTAGGGTATCAACCCTCTTCCCACCCAAACATAGGTGCTGACATCAATAATCCTTTCATTATTATTACAAGGGGGCCCCAACCATCTTCTTCTGCACAGAGGTGTCCCAGCTGGGTTTTATTGTATTCTTTCTTTCTATTCCTATAAGAGCAACTTCTTTTCAGATGTCCTGGTTCCCTGCAGAACCAACACCTTCTTCCCGGGCAGTTTGTGGCAAAGTAGCCAACTTAGCCACTGCTCTATGGCCCTCACCTACCTGGTGTGGGCTTAAAAAACCCATGTCCCAGCATCTAGGCTCTTCTATTGAGAACCTCTTCCCATTCCTTCAGTTCAACCTCTTTCTGTTTTACTTTCCTATTCCATGTGGGGGTTCTCTTTCCCCACTCCTGCCTGCCTACCTCCTGACTCCACTCTTGTGCCTTCTTTCCCTTCACCCTGTCCTAAATGCCATGATGTATGTGCTTATTCTGGAATGCCTCCACATACAGATCGGCCAACTGGGCCTACATGACTGTATTATTTCTTACTTCCTCTGGAAAGGCCAGACTGGCCAGTTTCCCTGCTCTAATTCTGAGCACTCCAGGAGTTTCGACCTTTAACTGAACTAATTTCATGAGGCCTTTCATGGCCTCAAGAGCTGTCCATACATCAGCATATGTCAGCTATAAGTAACTCCTCCAACTCCTTCTATGTCAAATGGGGGTCCCTCACTAGATGATCCCCTATAAATTTTGACACTGTCCTTTCCACAGCGTTAAATGCTGCATAAACAGTTTCCCTTTTCTATCCCTTTTCAATTGATGCTAGCCCGTCCTTCAATTCCCCTGGGTTCTGTCCATAGACTGAAACTCTGGGTCCCACCAGTAATCCTCTCAAGCCATTTATTAATTTTCGCCATGCCACCTCATCTTTACTGTTACTTGTTCCCGGGTTGCTGTACACTTGTCCTGGGTTGCTGTAAACTTTATGAGAAAAAAAATTGTGGAGTGTGTTATAGAACTGTATGATTAAAATGACCAAAGTCCATTGGTTCTCACTCATTTCTCATTTCTTTTCTTTGTTGTATGTTGTTCTTGAGTTGATCGTAGTCAAGCCGAAGTCAAATTCCTTGGTCACTGCCACCAATTGTCACCTTCAAGTTCTGTCCTGGTCGTCCAAATGTCCAATGCCCATAACTGATCAGTGAGATGATTTCTTCGATCCAAACCTTGCCTTATCCCACATTGTGATTAGTTTTTGATCATAAGGCTGGCAAAGATCAAATTGTTATCAGAAATCATTGTATTGGGTTGGTCCAAGTAGAATGAAAACACAAAAAGAAAATAACTTGAATAAAAAATAAATGTTTTTATATATGTTCTTTTGTACAGTGCCTAATTAATTTTGTCATTAGAATTTATCAGTTTCTCATGCGGGCTAAAACTAGTCTGGGGCACAACATGGTTAGGGGACTTGGTGTTTCCCCTATCTTCTAACAAGAACCCCTTTGTTGTCTGGGTCTTGAAAATTAATTACATTTCCATATCGAGAGATCCCATTTTCCTATGGGTAGCAGTCACAGGTATCGATCTGCCCCAATAAATTCTTCCTTCTTTTATTGGCATCTCATACCAATTCTTTCCAATGTGTGTGAGCAATTCTGCCACCTTCCCTGGTATTTCATCTGCACCTTCCACTTTAGCTACTCTTCAACCAATGGCTCTTGACTACTTGGCATGGCTTAACTTTATGGTCATTAATTAAAAGAATTATCATTTCAAATTTTGCTTACACAAAATTTCCTATCCTGGCTTTTGTTCAAAATTAGATATTGACCAGATGGCTCCTCTGATCTGCCATTTCCCAAATTTTGTCAGGGTCATTGCACTCCAATCACAAGGAAATGCTATTCTCAAGTTTTGGTTACAGCTCAAATCTTATCTGTCCTACTTATTTGTGTTTTCATAACTAACACTTTGGAGCTAAGCTCATTAATCAGTTTAATCAAAATTTAATTGTTTTTACATTATCTCCCAAATACTGTTTACCAGAGCCAGGGGTTTTAACACAGAATTTCTAAATATACTGGTTTTATTTAACAAGTTTATATTATTTGACTTTGCACATGGTAACAAAATTCACAAAACTTAAAAATACAAGGGTCAAAATTATTAGTCCTCCTGCTCTCCTGATACTAATAGTAAAGTATATATCCTCTTTGATTGTAACCATTTGGTATAGTTTTCAACAAATTCTAAGCTATCTACTTAGGAATTCTAGCCTATTTTTCTTTAGTAAATCTTTCATACTCCTCTTCTGGCATGAACTTCAACTTCAGTTTACAGTTCACTTCACACATTTTTTATGAGGGTCTAAGTCACTGTTTTATGCAAGTCAATAACATTCACTTTGGCCTTCTGGAGGTTGCTCTTTCATGTTGGAAGACACAATGATGACTGAAATTAAGCTTTGCTGCTCACTGCTTTAAGTTATCTTTCAAAATCTTATTAGGACCTTAAATAAGTTCTTGCTGTTTTCCAACAGATGGCATTCCCAGAACTGTGTGCATGTAATTTCAGATGGTAATGTATCTATAAGGAAGTACTATAAGCAAGTGTGAAATTCAGTTTATGTCATTTAGCTGAAGTGTAAGCAACTTTGTTTTCATAGTGTTAGACATTCATATTTTGTGCCAAAAAAAGTGTATTTGTGTGGAATTTTGCTGCACTATAGAAATCTGCAGAATTCTTGTTGAGACTTATGGTGACCATGCTCTGTTGGAAAAAAATGCAGAGATTGGTTTAGATGCTTCAAAAATAATGATTTTGATGTCGAAGATAAAGTACACTCTGGCATGAATAAGTTTGAAGATGAAGAATTGGAGTCATTACTTCATGAAGACTCATGTTAGGCACAAGCTGAACTTGCAAAATCATTAGGATTTGATCACACAACAGTTTTGAAATGTTTGAAAGCATCAAGAATGGTTCAAAAGCAAGACATTGGGTGCTATATGAGTTGAAGCTGAGAGATGTCGAATGGCATCTTGTCATATGTGAACAGTTGCTTCAATGGCAGAAAAGGAAAGGTTTTTTGCATTGTATTGTGACCAGCAATGAAAAGTGGGTATATAATCATATAAACTTCAATATTGGTTTGAAAAAAATTGTCAAATTTTAAACAATCAATTTAGATGTCAGAACAAAGCTTGAGTTAAAATTTGAGGCAGTATCAATATGTTTTATTGAAGTTATTTGACATATTCTAAAAAAACTGCCATCTGAAGTTATTAGGCAAAACCAAATGATCACGTTTTGGTACAATAAAAAGGTAATAAAATCATCAAAAATTGATCAACACCTATAATAGAACAAATAACAAACACATATAAGTCTTTGAATCCTTTACATTTTAATATAGTGACCCTTCTTCTCAATAACAATCTATTATCCATTGATATTTTAAAAGTTTTTTTTACTTTAGCAAGTTCAGTTTCCGACATGGTAATTTTAATTGCTTCCCGTAGGTCTGCTTTGCTGTTATATAGTTTGCCACTTTCATATAATTTCATCTTCACAATTGGCCATAGATTTTCAATTGGATTTAAATCAGGACTTGATGGTGGCTAGTCCATTATCTTCTCTCCTGTAAATCTTTTATGCTCAAATAATTCATGGGTAGGCTTAGATATGAGAAGGAACACTGTGGTGCATAAATACACACATCAATTTGAAACTGCAAAACTAGGACTTGTACCATGCAAAGAGAGTCTTGTTCATAAAATCACAATAGTTAGCAGTGTTCAGTTTAACTCCTTCATCAACTTTGAATGGTCCAATAATGATTTGGTTGGCAATTTCAACCCATATCATAACTCTATCACCTCCTTGTTGCATTCTTTTAGACACAGGCATATCTGAATTGGATAAAATCCATCTTTTGGCCCATCAAATGTCATTTGAGATTTGTCTGTAAAAATTACATTAGAAAAGTCAATTTTCATGTATTTCTACAAAATTGACACTTTAAAATATTTCTTTTAGAGAAAGGAGGTTGTCTTGGAGATTTTTTTTTACAGATCCCAATTTACAAAGTATTCTACACATATTGTCCTTCTTGACTGCCTCAATTCCAGCCTTTTCAAAGATCTGAGTGATGGTCAAAAGTAGTTGTTTCACTATAACTTGCTTTAGTTTATATTCATCTTGAGAAAGAAAGTTCATAAAAACTTTTCCTTTGCTTCAAGTTCTCAGCTTTTCAACAGCCTTCTTTATTGTATTTTCTGTTTTTCAGCAGTTGTTAGATCCTTCCCTTTGCCCATGTTTCAATATATTATGGACAAAAAGAAAAAATAGTTTTTATTAGATTTCAAAGGTCTTAAGCTAATATTAGTTTAATCTGCATAATAACTCCAGTCAGTCCATTTTTGTAAATTCCAAATATCTCAAAAAGTTACCATTAAAAATGGCAGAAAATTTAATTAAATATTTTACTAAGAGCGGAAATGGATGAGTTTAAATTTGACTAACTTTTTGAGTTATTGAGATTTATTTGATTTGCATAATAACTTCAAACAGGCTGTATAGTATTACATTTGGTGGTCATAATCAGAATTTTATCACCTATCATGCTACATTTTGTGACTATGACCCAGATATCAAATGTTTAATAGTTCCACCTCTGGCCATATATTTTCAAAATATTTTCATATAACCATTTTTAAAAGTTATATATATTTATATAACATGTAAATATATATATAGTTACTTTTAATACCAGAAAGCTGTTTATATCACTTTTCAAAATGTTTTTTTAGAACAAGTTAAATAAAATGAATTTTTTTATAATTTTTATTACAGATATGATCAAATAGTTGAAGCTTGTTGTCTGAAAGAAGATTTTAATCTTATTGGGGATGACACTGAAGTAAGTTATTTGATTGGGCAGTTTATTTCCAATTGTAATTTCAAACTCTTATTTGATCTTAGTAAAAAGCATAGTAAACCATGAAGATGAGAAATGCATTCTTTGTATATTCTTTTACAGAAATTATTTTTTGTAGAAAGTGACTTCAGACATTAAAAAGTATAATGGGTCAATTACATTAAAATGAAAGATGTTCTCTGGTTATGAAGTGACATGGTATAGGATGCAACAACAATTGTCTACCTTTTGAAACACCAGAAAATGAAAGTAGAGGTATCATATGCAGGTACTCAAAGCCAAACTGAACTTTTATATGTAGAACACAGAAAAGATCAAATTAGAGTTCAAAGTTTTCTCTATTCCACTGTTTTCTTTAAATGGAAAGCTTGTTTTGCTGAACACTGCCTTCAAATCAGCATCATCACAGAAATTTGGAATTCATTTTTTGATATCTTATTGGTGAACTGAATTTTGCCTAACTACTACTAAATTTAGAAGTATATATACCCTTTTGAAAATAATTGATTATAGAACTGTAGAATATTTTTATTAACTGATTGCAATAAACTGGAATTTTCTTACCAAATTATTCTTTATAGTGTCTCATAATCATGCAGAATTTACATTTAATTAGTACAACATTTTTAGCTTTAGGTTTCATGTATAAATTGTCAGAATTATTGATTAAAATAAAATGACATCTTTTTTATTCCTTATGAAATTTTTCCACTTGTTACCTGACATTTAATTTAGTTTTATTGGGGTTGGTCAAAAGTTTGTTCTATTTTTGTTGGTAAATAGAGTGTTTAGTTTAACTAATTTAATTCAAAAAGATCAATTATATTATATCATAATGCATTTTTCAGAATTGGTAAATTTTTGTTTGTTGAGTGTTTATTGATTCTAACAGTGAAGATGAAAGAAAATAAGTAATAATTTTGTCATAGTTGTTATTTTAAGAAAAGTAAAAATATGGTTGAATCACAAAAAGAAAGTCTTGTCATCCCTACATAATATAATTTTCTATTTCAATGCTCTGTGGAGCATTATCAAAGAGAGTTTTTCACATGAATGATACCAGTATAGCCATCAGTTGAGGATGCCATTCAGAGAGCTTTTTTAACAATCAACAAAACACAGCTTTGTAAAATATCACACAGGACATGGTGCCACATCATCTTGTGTCACGAAAATGATGGTGTTCATATAGACCTTCTCAATGTGTGACAGCGTCAGTGAAAGTGAATAAACTGAATCTGGTACATGTGCTTTGTATTACTGTATTACTTGTTCTATTGTTCTCGGACCACCTTACAGTTTGTAAAGTTTTGTGATAAGATTTCTTTCTGAATGATGCTCCATTGTTGAGTAGACCATTTAGGGTTGATAGCAATCAAATCAAGATATTTGTTCTATTTTTTAAACAAACTGTATTGTGGTAAGCGCTCAGGGGCTTCTCTGTCAAAGAACAGAGGGGCAACTGAGGAAAATTATACTGGGGAACAGCTGCCTGAGACTGCGCTCTCCCATTGCACAAGAGGGAGTGATCGGTGCTCGCACCGAGGCCAGCGCGCTCGGGTCCCCACATTAATCCGACCTTGTGTCGCATCTCATTCTCGTGGGGGAATGAGTAAACACTGTATTGTGGTAAGAGCCAGTTACCCTCTTTATTATCATGAATGGATAAGTAGTGGGTAGTCCTGGATAATTGTCTAGAAAGAGAAGATAATAAGACTATTGCAGTGACTTTCAGGAAAATATTGCTGAGTGAATAAAGTGAATAAACTGAATCCATAAAAAAACAGCAAAAAATACTAGAACTTCTTATGAAGAGTAAAAGTAATGAAAGCATGTCTACTTTTTTCTCAAGACTTAGTAGTAAAAACAATTTAATTTAAATATAACCCTGATGAAGAGGTTACATTTGCAGCATACTACTGATGCTATGAAGAAATTTTTAAAAAAGACTGGATAAGCTGGTTGGATGAGAAAAAGTGTGACTGTTACTAAGGAAGTTAGAACCCACAGAACACAAAAAATATGTGAATTACATTCTGCTGAAAAAATCAAATGAATTGTTGTTTGAAGAAACGATTATGTTGTTAAGTAAAAAAACATATGGGAAAGCAAAATACTTTACAAAACCAAATCCATGTTACAGATGCAGCAAAATACATTTCATTGCCCTTTTAAGAACAGAAAATGTTTCTTCTGTGTTCGCTTAAAGAATAAAATGTCAAATTCAAGAGTACTGTAAATGTAGCATCGACCACAGACAACACAGACAAGGGTTAAAAAAGAAAATTTATAACCATAAAAATAAACAGAAGAAATATAAAGTTTCACCTAGACACTGGGTCAGATTTGACGATTATTAACAAAGAAATGTGGGAAAGAATCAGTAAACCAATATTAACATTACCAAAATAAATTGCTCAGAGCAATACTGGACAGAAATTGAAATTTAAAGGTGACTTCACATCAGGTATTGTTTTATGGGAAAATGGTGAAGGCTAAAGTATTCATGAAGGAAAGAACTTATAATTTGTTTGGAACAGGTCAGATGCAACTGTTCAGTTTATAGGACTTGACCATAAACTGTTTTTGTAAGAAAGTGGATGACTCTTCTAGTAACTGTCAAAAACTAAAAAACAAATGGAAACGTCAATTTCCAAAAGTTTTTTCTGAAAGGTTAGGTAAACTAATGCCAAGTTCCAGTTAAAGGAAAATGTGGTACCAATTTTTAGACCAAATAGGAATGTGCCTTTTCACTTTTGGATACAATAAACAAGAAATTAGATCACTTGGGAAATATGGGAGTGGTCTCCAAAGTAGATTATAGCGATTCGGTCTCCCCAACTATCTTTGTGGAAAAGAAAAATAATAAAATCTGTGTATATACTGATTTCTCTATGGGGCTGAACTATAAGCTTACAATTACCCACTGCCAAGTCCAGAAGTTTTCACAAAGTTTAATGTCAGAAAGTATTTTTCAAAGTCGGACTTGTCAGAACATATTTGCAAATCCAGTTTGACAAAGAATATTGAAAACTCTCAACAATCAATAACCACAAGGGATTATACAAGTTTAACAGATTACCTCTCAGAATTAAGGTAGCATCTCGAATTTTTCAGCAAGTAATGGACACAAAGTTGTGTGATCAAAACTTCACAATTGCCAACTTAGATGACACTTGATTCAGTACGAAAATGAGGTATTCAGAAAAACAAATGAATGCGGGTTTAAATTAAGTGATGAGAAATGCAAATTTTTCATGATGAAAATTAAATATTTGGGCCAAATCATTGATGAAGATAATAGGAAACCAGACCCAACCAGAGTAAGTGCGATTGAAAATATGCCCTTCCAAACAAATATGTCATCTTTACAAGCATTTTTAGGTTTTGCAAATTATTATATTGTTTTTATTCTGAATTTGAAAGCCCCATTAAATAATTTATTAAACAAAAGACACCAAGTGGAATTGGATGGCTGAATGCCAAAAACACTCAGAAAAATTAAAAAAATTTTAACCTCAGACTTGTTTCTCTCACATTTTGATCCAAAATTAAAAATAATTGTGGCGAGTGATGCTAGTAACTATGGTATTGGTGCCATAGTTTTGCATAAGCACAAAGAGAGTTCTATAAAAGTGATAGTGCATGCATCAAGAACACTTTTATTGGCTAAGAAGAATTATAGCCAGATAGAGAAAGAGGTGGTGGGAATAATTTATGCTGTGAAAAATTTCACAAATTCATCCATGGTAGAAGGTTCACTCTACAGATGGATCACTGTCCATTGTTACCTATTTCTATGAAATTATAAATGTTCTCTGCAATACTGTACATGATCTACCAGTGATGCTGGATGAAATTAAATTAAAAGCTTAGGTGGATACTTTTATTAGAGAAAAAAGAAGCGAGTAAGTTAGAAATTGAAGGAGAAAAATAAAATTAAATCGAAAAACTGATGGTGACAATATTTTCTCAATTTGCGATGTGATCTTAATGTATGGTGAAAGAGTGGTAATACCTGCATCTCTTCAGAAAAGGATGTTGAAAGAATTTCATACAGGTCATCCAGGTATCTCTAAAATGAAATCTCTCATGAGCAGCTATGTCTATTAGCCCAATATAGATAAAGACATAGAGAGATTGGTAAAAGTGTGCAAAGATTGTGTCATGGCAGCAAAATCACCATTAGAATTACACCCATGGCCAAAGACAGACACACCATGGTCGAGATTACACATCAATTTCGTGGGACTGATAAATAGTGTCTACTACCTATTTATTGTTGACAGTTTTTCCAAATGGCCAGAAATATTAAAATGCTAGAATCTAACTTCTGCAATTACAATAAACTTATATGAATTATTTGCTAGATATGGTATCCCAGATACCATTGTTTTGGACAATGCTATGCAATTCACTGCATTCAAGTGTTTGATAGTTTTTGTAAAGCCTTTGTGATACAACAATCAAAACTCCCCACCTACCGTCCAAGATCGAATCCGCAAGCAGAATGCTTCATTGATAAATTCAAAAGGTCATTAAAAAAAGCCAATGGAGGTGAAACTAAGGATATGTTATTACAACAGTTTTTACATGTATATGGGGTGACACCTAATCCTAACATGGTATCAGGTATATCTCTGGCAGAACTAATGTTCACAAAGAAAATTAGATTAGTGTTTGACAAACTGCTTCCAAATAAAAAATAAAAAAAATAAAAAACAAGAAAAATTCAAAACCTGGCGAAGAAGTATTCTTTTAAACATACAAAAATGGAAGGAATGCTGGGAAGATGGGGTAGTTGAGAGATGTATCGGAAAGTTATTGTAGATGATAAAAGGGTTTAAATGGGTTCATAAAAGACATCTAAATCAAATAAGAAAAAGGTACTCAGACAAACAGAGCAGTCGAGAGGAGGAGCTAAAGCTGATTTTGTATGACTTTTTTGATGTACCTATGCCCCAGATAGCTCTGGAAACCATATGCTCCAGTAAAAGGAAGAGACAGCCTACAGAAGTGTTGGATCTTAACCCAAAAAAGAAAAAGTATAACTTCTATTGGATGTAAGTCTCAAAAGGGGAGATGTGGTAAGAGTCAGATACCCTCCTTATTATCATGAATAGATCAGTCCATTCATGATAAGTAGTCCTGGATAATTGTCTAGAAAGAGAAGATAATACTGTTGCAGTAACTTGTCTAGCTGAGTATTGAGTCAAGTTAAGTGTTGTGTTTTGCTTGACCCCACATAACAGCAGTAAAAAGTATCAACAGTGTGAAATGCAGGGCTGTGGAGTCAGAACACAAAACCTTTGATTTCAATTTCTCTATTTTTGGCACTTCCAACTCTGCTTTATGTAATTAAATGATTATGTCCTACAAATCTCAAAGCCTATGCATACACTCCTAACTTGAGTAGGCCTATATAATTATAACTGGTTTATATCAAAGAATAAAGATATTGTGGCTTTTATATCATACATATTCATTCTTCAATATTTTCTAACAGAATCAGAGACAAAATCTTTGAAGAAGGATATAGAAGAAATAACAATAAAACTAAAAATGCTATAATGTAAGATTTTTTACATGTATATCTTTGAAAATAAGTACAGAACAAAAATAAATCTACTTTATAACAGAAGCTGAAATGTAAAAGACATAGCAAAAAAAATTCTATAATGTAAGATTTTTTTGCATATATAGTTTTGCAAATACAAAATAACTACAAAAAAATTACTTTAAAAAAGAAGTTGAGATGAAGTTTTTTAAAGGAAATAGCAAATATACAGTAGAAGAAATAATAAAAATAAAAATTCTATTAATGTAAGACTTTTTACATAAAGTGTAAATTCCACTGGAGTCACTATAGTTTTACCAACTCTGACTCCAGTGACCCCTTAATTGCTTCCGACTCCACAGCCCTGGTGAAGTGTAGGCTTACTATAATTTCCAAGCCTCAAAGTGGGACAATTTTCAATGTTTATTAAATGTCTAGTTTTCTTGTATAATAGGATACTTGGGTAGAATGACATGGAAAGGTGAGTTGGTAAGCAAAGTTCAATTCCCAGCCCAATTTGTTGGATTCACTTTTGCACAAATAGCCTTAAAAAACTCATGAATCCATCTTCTCTCCAACTATGGGTTAAATAGCAGAATAAACTGACCTCTTTTGTCTTGTAAGCCAGTCTATGAGCTATGGCAAAGGCAATAAGAATCCATTCCACTGTTTTCTAAGAAGACATTGCAATTCACAGAAATATATTGAGAACTATAATTGTCTAAGGGACATAACATTAAAAAAAATTCTTGTATAATAAATAGTTTTCATGACCCAACACATCTTAAATTTCAGAACTGATACAAACAAAAAAAAAGAATACTCATAACTGATCACTAGGATAGAACCAAACAAATCAGAGTATATAGTAAACCTAGTGAAATGCAAGAGATCATAGAGTAAATGAAATCAATCACCAAAAATTGTACCAAAAGTTGATTTTCACCATAATGATGATGCTATATGTTGGGATTGGAAGAGTCCATGCACTTCTACCAGAGAAACATTTGATTGATTCTCTAATATTGCAACTAATCAAAGTAATCAATCCAAATCATACAGAATTAATTAAGAAAAAGGGCATAATATTCTACCAGGACTACTGTAGGTCACATGTTTCTTTTGGTGACCAGGCAAAAACTGTAGCAGACATTGTAACTTTATATTACCATTTAGAGAAATTCACCTCATGAAAAATTTCAGTTCCCTGGAAAAGTGTAAAATGTATATACAGTAGTTTATTGTTAAGAAAGATAAAACATTCTGGGAGGAAAAGAATGTTCAAGTTGCCTGATGGCAGAAAATTGTGAAACAGTAAATGTTGCTCAATAATGTCAAACACAAAATAATGTCCTTTATTTTTACTTAACAAACTGAAAAACTTTTTTTATACTACATAATAGAAATTTTTTTATAGTCTTAACTAATTTTGCTTGATAAAGGAAATTAATTCTACTAATATTGTGGTAAGTGTTAAAAAATCTTCAATTTTTTATATAGACATATTTCTTTTTGAAAATGTAAAATATATTTCTTGTTTTGATTTTCAGATTGGTGAAAGAGGCATGAATTTGAGTGGTGGTCAAAAACAAAGAATTGGACTTGCTCGAGCAGTGTACAGTGACCGAGATATATACCTTTTAGATGATCCATTATCGGCTGTTGATGTCCATATAGGGAAACATATATTTGATCGTTGTATCAACACATTTCTTAAAGAGAAAACAGTTATATTTGTTACCCATCAACTTCAGGTTAATCACTTTTCTAATATTTTCAATAATTGCCTTTACAAAAAGAAATTTGATTGCAATTTTTACTGTAAATGCAAGTCTATCACTCATATTTTATCCACAAATGCTTAATAAAATGATTATAACATTCTACCATTACAAGTTCCATGTTTGATTTCTGAATATTTTTACAGGTTTTGTTTTTACAAATTTTATTAATATGAAGTGTATTTTTTTTATATTCCAGCAAGAATCAAGAAAATTATTTTAATTTAAATTATTTTATTATTATTTTCTTTCTTTTCTCTTTTCTTTTTTGTCAGTATTTGGAGTCCTGTGACCACATCTTATTTTTAAAAGATGGAAAGATTTCTGAACAAGGTTCTCATCAGTCTTTGATGGCTGATCATTTGGAATATTGTGCACTTATAGAATCATTCTATGAAGACTCAAATTTGGAAGAAAAGAAAAAAACTGAATGTGAGTTGGTCAGGATATATATATAAGTGTTTGTAGGTGTTTGTGTGTGTATGTATATATTTATATGTACATGCACATATATGCATATAGGTGTGTGTTTTTAATATTTGTTCATTTATTTATTAATATTTTTTAAGTTTATATTATATTTATTTCATTTATTTATTTATTTAAAGTTTATATTAATATTTATTATATTTCATTTATTTAATGTTTATATTATATTTATTTTATTTATATTTATTTGTTTATATTAGTGCTTAGATGGCAAAGTAAGTATTTATTTATAAGCCTACATTTACCCATTATTTCAGTTTTCTTGTTTAAGAGTTTACTTTGGATTTTAAAAGTAATTATTGATAATTTTTCCTCTAAGCATAATTTACAATTTTTACTGTTAATACTGGATAGGGCTGCTCTTTTTATAATTTCCCATTTGATTTTGGTGAAGATATTGTTTTCTTTTTGGCTCCATATGTATTTTGATAGGGTTTTATTGTTTTTGTATTTTTTCTTTTGAAGGACATTTTAAGGTTATAATATCTTTCTTTAAAAGTTTTTTCTGTGGTGCCTATGTATTTTTTTTCATCTGTGTTAATGTTATTAGTTAGCTTTGTATATCATGTTCTTGGTTAGGCATTTCTTGTTAAATGGTCAATTTTCTTTGTTACTGCAGTTACATTTAATGCTGTTATTTTGCTGGATGTTATTGTTATTGTTGTTGCAATCGTTATTGGTTTTGTTGAGTATTTTGTTATAGTGCTTAGTTATTATTTCTCCATATTATTCATACAGCTGTTACTAATTTTGATTGTATTTTTGTTGATAATTTGCTGTTTTTAGGGAAATGTGTGTCAATTATTTTGAAGAATATTTTCCCTATTTTTGTTTTTATGGTATTGTTGATGGGGTAGGGGCTGAACCAAATTACTGTATATACTTGTGTATCATACAAACTTTGAAAACCTTATTTTCACTACAGTAAATGGGTATATAGTTTGGTCAATGGGGTAGCCAGGGCCAGCAGTACATGCACTAATTTTATATCTCATGTATGATGTGACCCCCTTAAAATTATCTTCAAAATTAGGTTTTCAAAAGTTACATGATATGCAAGTATATACAGTATGTTTCTTTTGCTGTTTTTTATTTAAAGTGTATTCATTTTTGTATTCTAGTTTGATTACGTTAGGGAGCTGGTTAGACTTTTTGTTAATGCATATTGAAAGAATTAATAGACCTTCGTCCCTGGTGGTCAATTCTTGGTCAGCCTGGTCACCCTTGCCACATGCCACCTATACCAGATGTTGTCTTGGTTCTCAGGGTCATAGAATGACAAGTTGATTGCAGGATCAATCCCAAGCTGTTTGATACAAATAATAGGTCAGTGGTCCTTGGTCACTGTCCACTTCAGTCCACACCTTGCTCTGCCTACATTGTGTTTCTTGATCACAGAAATGCTATCAATCAATTAATTGCCTGTATTGTAGCACTGATTCAAACCATGGTGAGCCTGTGCTATGATGGAAAAAAATGTCTTTGCATATGAAATAAGAATGAAAAAGTCTTCGGGTCAATTTTTGATTTGCTTTATGTAGTGCTTGGTATAACAAAAATTAACCCTTCTCACTAAAATCTTTTTAGTGATGCTTTTCCTATCTGTGTGACTTCTTGGAACAGGGTTCAAAGTCAGGAATTCTCTTGGCAGAAGGTCATGTGGGTTTCAGCAGCTCCTTCATTTAGCATTTTCTCGTCTGCATCTCTCACCATCACTGGTTCCAACTGTAACTGCCTGGGTCACTCAAGCACTCTGCTTATATTGACTTTGACTCAAAATTGGAGTGGAAGCTGACAGCATTTGGGAATTTAGGGTTTCCCCAGGTTTCTGTATTGATTTAAACAAAGGTTCTTTGTTGTTTGGTTTGTAATAATTATCTCTCCAAATTTGGGAGATCCTCTCTTCTTATGGGTAGTGGATGCAAGTATTGGCCCGTTTGTATAACTCATTCTTTCTCTTGTCTATACCTTGCACCATTACATGGACAGAGATAATTTCTCTGTGTCTCTTGTCATTTCATCTAAGCCCACCAACTCAGCTGTCTCTTTGACAACTTTCAAACCATGTGGACAGAAAAGCGGTCTTAACTTTTAGTCATTAATTGTAATTACCTTTTTAATTTTCAACAACTGGTCTTGTTTACCCAATCAGCTTGTTTGCTCTATAGTACTCATAAACCTCATAGGTCCAGGTTTATTTGAATTCTTTCAATGCAGGATAAAATCCTATTTCTCGACTTGTTTGCATGTGCGCAATCGGTGAAGCTATATCCACTTACTGACAGACAGGCAGAAGTCGGTCTTTTGATTACAGCTTTGTCCTCAAAATTATCAGTTGACCCCTTCTGCTTGGTAATCATGAGACATGTTTTCATCACTTGCACTGTAGTAAGTGGTCATAAATTCATTTCTCCATTTCTGCCTTGTTTTGTAAAATTCTCAACTGACTTTGAACGTATTTTCACTATTTCTCCCCAACCCTTGTGGGTTTAAATTTTACAGATGGCTCTTCGATAATATCTTTTCCCAAAACAAGTCATTTTCCTCAAGTAGTCTCTGCTTCCTTCTTTTAGTTTATATGTCATTCTGTATTTTTAACTCTTTTTGTCTGTTCCAAGTTGTATTCTAAATTTATGTCTTTTCCTAATATATAGACCGATATTTTTTTGTTAATAATATTTGTTAATTTATTGATTATGTATATGGCTATGAGTTTGCATTTCCTAGCACCATCATAGCTACCCATTGTTATATCAAAGTTATTTTTATTATCATTATTATTATTGTTGTTGTTGTTATGGCCTTTTTTGTCCATATGTTTTTAATATTGATTTTCAGCTGTGTTTAATTATAATTATGTCCTCATTGGGGATAGTCATATATTGTCTTGCTAAGTTTAGTGCATTGTTTAGTGGATGCTCATTAATAGATTGGTAGAAGTCTTTTATGTCTAATTGCATGAAGCAATAGTTTTCTTTATTATTAATGTTATTAAACCAATTGAGTGTTGCTTTTGTATTTTTCCATTGGTTTATGCTTAGTATATTTCTTAGTTTTGAGCATATTTTTCCAATATTTATTTGCTTATTTTCCCAATTTTTTCTTTTTGTGGGGTTTAGTAATGTGTATGTTGGTTTGGTCATGAAATTGTCTTTATGGTCTTTTCATTTAATAAATGGTTCTACTTTTGTTAATTGTTTTATTCTGTTGTCTAATTTTAGTTTAGTGGCTGTGTTTTTAGCTTCTTTGTTTATATCACTTTCTGTTTCATATCAGTGCTTTTGTAAAATTTAGCGACTTTTTTTGTCAACTAGTTTATTGCTATTGTTGATTTTCATTTTATAGATTATCCTCAATTTATCTGCTTTTATAATAGTTTTTTTAGTTGTTTATGATTTTTTGATCTTTTTCAAGTCCTTTTTGCAAATTATTATTGAATTTTCTTACTTTCAAATTATTGATTATGCTTGTTAAGTCATTTTCTAGAGTAATGTGGTTGTTTCGTTGTGGTGGTCATTTCATTGATGTAAATCCAAATTTGTTAATATTATTGGTATTATTAGTGTTGTTGTGGTTACCACCATTGTCATTGTATTTGTTGAGGAAATAGAATTTTGTAATCATAAGGAGTAATTAAATTGTATTGATTTCATGTTGATGTAAGATAATTTTTTTTTTTACAAAAAAAAAGCAGAATTGAATGCTCTAAAAAAGTGATCAAACAAATAGAAAAATCTGCAAAAGTGCCCAACTGAGAATAATTTTTCAGGGGTTGAGGCAATAGTGATGTCAAAGATAGTATGAAGTCAAAAATACTGGGATATTGAGAGAAATGACATTTAAGGCAAACATGAAGAAATTGTAAGACAAAATGGAAAAAGTTTATTTGTGATGCATTTCATCTGTTAGGACTTCATTGGACTGGATTTGTTGACATTGTTGTGACTACATATGCACAAGAATGAGAGATGCTGGTAGTTTCAAAATCTTTTGAAATAATTTTTAAAAATAATTTTTGCAATCTAGCCAAATTCATCTATATTATTTTTCTTTTCATTATCTTTGTTTTTAAATATCCCACATTGTGATAACAAAAAATCTTGAATGGTGAAACATTGTAAAAACCTGGATGTAAATTTACTGTGGCTGAACTAGAGATTAAATCACTTTCTAGACATTTTTGTCTTAGTTAATTATTTTCTCTTTTAATTTTATGTCAAAATTGTGTTCAGTTTCATTATGGTGAATAACCAATGCATTTTGTATGTTGTTTTTTAAAAAGTCTCTTTTATGTTCATATAGACTTTTGTTTAAACTTCTTGAAGTTTCTCCAATATATTCTTTGTAGCCAATCCTTGCAGCTAATAGAGTAAAAATTCCTCCTTCAAGTTTTGGCTTGTTGTTTTGTTTTGTATTGATTAAGTCTTTTCTTATTTTAGATGTAGTTGTGACAAATTTTATGCTGCATTTCAATAAATTCTTTTCAATTGTAGTTGTGATAGAGCTAGTGGGTAGAATAATATATTTTTTGATTCATTGGGTTTGTCAGGAAGGATAGCTTTTCTATTTTGGAATATTTTATGAGCCTTTTGTTTCACATTGAATATGAGATAGTTAGGGTATTGAAGGGTCTTGAAAGTATTTTCAGTATATTTCTCTTCTATGTAAAACAAATTTTGAGTGCTCTTAAGTAGAATCTAATGATTATCCCAGATTTTATTTTGTTGCTATGATGGGAATAAAAGTTTATTAGGTCATTTTTATTAGTTGATTTTCAGTGGACACTAAGTTTTAGGCTGCTGTCAACTCAGTGTAACATGATGTATAAGAAAAGTATTATTTTCTTCCATTTCATATGTAAATTCTATTATATGTTCAACTTTGTTTGTCTATAAGATCTGGTAAGTCAATATCACGGGGATATTTTAATAGAGCATCATCAATATATCGGAAGTTGATTGTTTAGGTAAAATATTTTGGAAAGAACCAAATTCGAGAAATTCTAAGTTATATGCCATCACTCCACTGAAAGGTGATCCCATTGGTAATCCAAATTTTTTTTTGTAAAAATTGTTATTGAATATGAAATAGCATTCTTCGCATTTTTAAAACTAAATAACATTTTTCTCAGTACGATACATTCAGGTTGATAAATTCACCACCTTAATTCTGACATATTTCTAATGATAAAAAAAATGAATAAATCCTCTATAAATTGAATTTCTTTATGACAACTTTCAAACCATGTGATAAATAAAATTGTTTCTCTTCAAATATTATTAAATTATTAATTTTCTTTATTACTCATCATGTGGTAACTATTTGCCTTCTTGAAAAAAAGAATCTATCTATTAAAATGAATGAATTCATTTAAGAAGTTTTTCTAACAAAAATATGCTTTCTTCAATTTTTCATTGTTTTTTTTTATTAGGTATGACTCCCCTCTCACCAAGCCCTTCATTACACCCCCGTTTCCAGTTTAATCGCACACAGTCAGTAATAAGCAGACGGATATCAGCTAGCCAGTTAAGTCTTAATGAATCTATTCTAGGTAAGTAACATGAAAATGTTTTGTAATATTTAGGATACTGAAAGAAAAACCAATACATTATGTCATTTTAAGTCACTTCAGTTTAATAGAGGCCAAAAGGAATTAAATCATGGAAGATGTTTTAAAAATCATTTTTTAAAAATGTGTGTAAGGTATATTTTACTAATTCTGAATTGTAAAGTAAATGTTTACTTTTTTTTCTTATGATAGTAGGTAGAAGTGAATGCTGTATAATGCATTTTTGAATGTTTTCATCAATTTGACTGTTGGTTAATGAAAAATGAAAAACAGATTTTTCAGTAGTAAAAGTTTAAGTAAAGAAAGGTGTTTGATTTGTTTTGCTGCTAATATTACAACTATTACAACAAATACCTTAAAGAGAAGAGAATATAGATATGATTTTTAGAACTTCTGATAAGTTTTTGAAAAAATGTTTTTGATGCTATCCATTTATATTGAAAAGAATATTCTTTGTAACTTCTTAAGATGGAGAAATGATTTTTTTGACCAGATATGGATATGAACAATTTGAGAATTACTTAAAAATGGAAACTATTATTATATATTTTTCTATTTGGACCACCATGCACATCAAGATTGTTGTAAAATTTTGACCATTGTATATTCTGGCCATCTTCATGTGTATATCTTTATATATTCTTGCAATTTTGAATAGGTTACTTTATTCAGTCTACAGAGATCTCTAAAGAGTTGAACATCAAAGTGGCTTGTGTCTGAGGTAAACATTGAAAATTAAATGACGGAATTGTCCAAGAGATACATGGCATATTGGATTAAAGTATTGGTTAAAGCATATCTGGGTGGGCATTCAATCTTTGGGTCAAGTAATGTGGAAATATATACTCTCATTCAGTGGAAGAAATGAAGCATTAACTGACATGAGATATCTCTCCAAAGCATGAAAAGTAAAATGAGAACAATTTCCCCTCATGGATTAAATAAAGGATTCAATTTAAAATTCTGAGGAGGTTACTGAGTACAACAGTCCCTTGGAGAAACCAGAGTACATTGATTGATTTGTTTTTATGACTTATCAACTTTTAAAAGTTTATTTAAAGCCAAAACATTCTTGGATTGTAAGAATGGTTTTCTGATATAAGTCCTACTATTTACTCCCATAGCTGGGTGGAGAGGTAATGGATTCAAATTTTTCCCAAGGGTATTTACATGAATACCACTGGATTTGGAACTTTGCTCTCTGATTTTTCAAATTATCCATTACACATAGTGGTCTTTTTGAGTGGTCATCCATCTAGATACTGACAGGATCAAAGTAGCTTAACTTTAGTGATTGGATGAGAACTGGTATTTCAACGTGATATGACATGAGTATAATAATCAAGATAAGCCTACTAGTCTGAATAGAGTGGTATACAATAATGATAATTCCTTATCTAAAAAATTCCATGGCAAACTATTTTACTATGAATTTATATTGCAAAAATTGCTTTTCACTTTCATAAATAAAAAAACAACCTACATTCAACTCATCATTTTCCCTTCTTCTTTTTTAAATTGTTATATAATATTCATCATAATATACACCATTGGCTTTTTAGTTTTGTGTACATTTTATTATTATATTTTATGCATTTTATTATTAGTCTGTTGGGTATTATTACTGCCACACACCTATGGAGGTGTTCATATTTGAATTATCCACTGTCATTTTTAAAGTGTAAGAGGAATTAATTGTAAAATTCAACTGGTATTCAACATAGTGTGTATAGAAAATATAATTCAGTTGAGTTAAATATAAAATCAGAATTTTATGATTATTGTAACATTATTGTTTTTTTATCACATCATTTGTATGAAGTTTTAAGTGATTGTTATTTTGGTTTATTCTTTGATACATTTGTATATGCAATGAGCATCATTTTATTCTATAAGATTTTAATTTTAAAATCTAAAAAATCTTAAATATTTTATTAAATACTTGTGGAACAAGTTTTTCAGGTTTGAGTGTTTCTTAAGAAAATGTATTTTTTATATTTCAGGCTATCTTTACTTAAAAATATTGGAAGGGTTTATTAATTTTTTTTGATTTTGTAGACAATGCAGATTTGGTACAAGAGGAAGAATCTTCTACTAATGTTGGCCTGCCAGAGCTGTGGTTCTATATGAAAGCTTGTGGTGGTTTCTTTATTTGTATTTTTGCCCTGTTAATGTTCGCTGTATCTATTGCTGTGCAAACTAGTTCAGCTTGGTGGCTCACATATTGGATTCAACAGGTACAGGGCATCTCAACTTCTTTCCATGATTAATATTCATTCATTAGTGTTTTTTTCATATTTGATGATAAATTAACTGGTTATAATATTATCATTTCCTTCTATATATTAATTACCAATACTATTTTTTTTCATTCAGTTTGGTCTTATTTGTGATATTTTGGTACCTTGAGATATATTTTTTGGATGAAATTTCAAAAGAACTTTAATATATATATATATATATATATATATATATATATATATATATATATATATATATATATATATATATATATATAGTATTTGTCTTGCATCCAGAAACTACATCAATTTTTAATGTCATATTCCTTCACCTTCATGACACAGGTGATCATGTGTTTCTGCACATTGCTTTTTCTTTATTATCTCTGAAATGTCATGACTTTTGTGAGAAGATAATGGTCTTGCATTGCTTTCTCCATGATTTTGAATTCAATGTACTTCTTTTAGATTGGTTGCTACCTAAGGCTAGAAATCCCCATCTGTTATTTAACTCATAGCTGTGGGGTGAAGAAATAGTTTCATAAGCATTAGTATGAAATGAAGGCAACAGACTAAGGCAGAACTTGAAGTCAGCTTACTGATTTCACTTTCCATATTAATAACCACTAACCTACTTGCATCTAATTATCTTTCTATAAAGAAAAACATTGTTTCATCAACTAATGCTTCAAAGAGATTTGTTTAGCTTCTTGGAATTTGGCTGAATAGTAAAAATGTTTAAAGTGTATAGACATCATGACCCCTACAAAATTTTACATACATTTTTAAAAATATACAAATTCATTTTATGCAATCAATTCAATCTAAAATTGATTAACATATAATTTTCATGTAATTATCAATTATTTTCATGAATTAAGATATTAATTTCATAAATTAAGATATTAATTTCATGAATGAACATGTAATTTTCAACAAGTATAGCCAACGATGATGAAAAAAGAATTATGTTTTCTGATATGCAAAAATCCTTTAAAGAACTTTTATAATTAATTGTAGCAATAAATTATAATACATGCCAAACAGAACAGGTAAAATTAAAAGCCTAACAAAATATACTATGAACAGTAATGGACATGGCTCCTGCTGATGTATGAAACTTTTTTTACTTATTTTTAATTAATTTTTCTTTATTTTAGGACTCTGCTTGTTGTATATCCAGACTCATGATATCCTCAGTGAAAGTTTTTTTTTGTTTTGCTTAGAAAATAAAGGCAAAAAAAAAAAACATTGTAGAAGACATCATAGTTCTCAGTTTAAAATGATTTTTGTTCTTCTTCAAGAGTTTTGATTGGAGATCTAGGAGAAAAAAAATATTTGTAAATGAGCATTTCTCAACTCAAATAACTTCTCAGGCTTCAAGTGATATAAATTATTTAATTTTACATAATTTTAATATTAATCTTGTTTAGCAAACGACTAACTTTGTGATATAAGTCAATTTAATTTTACTTTCTATAGGACTTTTACTAATTTTTTTGTTCAATTTCAGAATGATACTGATAACATTGATAACAAAAATACCAGTTCTGTTAGAATAAGCAGTCATCCTCTAGTAAACCTTTTTGCTACTGTCTATGGTCTTACTGTGTTGGTAACCATATTAGTTCATTTGATACGAGGCTACATTTATGTAAAGGTAAGTGAAGCATGATGCAGATTAAATAAAATCTACGTTTCAAATCATGGATATAATTTTGCATGTTATTAACTGCTTTACTGAAAATATCACATTTTATACATGTTTATCTTTTGAATTTAGTTTATATAATCAAGGTTAAATTTTAAATATGTATGAAAACAGAATTGAAACTTAAATTTAAATGTTCTCATCAAATCATGTGACCTATCACAAGATATTTGATAGTATACATAAAGATCTACTTTAAAGAAGTACTAGAAAAACTAGATTTACATTAAACTCTACTGGGAACAAACAGTCTGTATGCAGATAGAAAATAAGTTCAGTGAATACACTAAAAGAGAAGTGAGAAAAGATTGTTATCTCACCAGCAATCTATACAGCAAGTTAATTCTATGAGAACTAGAAGAACTGTCATAATTTATTATTGGTAAACATAATCTTAGCAACATCAGATATGAAGATGCCAGTGTTCATAGCAGACTCAGAAAGAGAACAAAAAGTATGCTTAGATAAAGCAGTAAAGGAAGGCAAAAAGAAAGGACTTAACTGTAAGAAGATAAAATGCAAAGATGATAGCCCACAGTGTGAGCTACATATTTGGGATGGTAAAATCAAGTAGAAACAGAAATGTAACTATCTGGTAGATGACAAAGTGTGACAGAGAAATCCAAATCTGCATAGGAATAACAAAAGATGTCTTCCAGAAACTAAGCAAAGTATTAAGAGATAAGAAAATGTCATTAGAAACAAAGAAGAATGTTCAACTGCTATATAATATTTAATCCCCTTTATAACAGTAAATGTGAGACAATCTTTTCACAGATTGAAGAAGAGACAAAGCAACAGAAACTTGGTTCTACCAACAAATGCTGAGAATGCAATGAACAGAATATGTGAGGACGTTTTAAGGAAAATAGGAATAACTACAAGAAAATTAGTACTATCAGAAAGACTGAAGTTTCTGGAACATATAATGAGGAAAAAGGGTCTGTAGAATTTAACACAGGATATATTGAAGGAAGGAGAAGAGAAGTAAATAGCAAATGACCTACTTGATGATTTTGAGTGAATGGATGGTATAACAATAACAAAAATGGTAATGGTTTAAAAGTTACTTAAAGCAACAAAATACAGGAAGTAGTAGTGATTCAGGATCACCTACATTTTGAAAAGATATGCCATATAAAAGAAGAATCATCATCTATCACACTCCCTAATATAAATTAATATATGAGGTAAAAGTGGGTGCTACTGAAATGATTCCTGAAGTTATTGCAAAACTCTCCACTATGTAGAATAGAAGCTAAGTGACAATCATAAAAGTTTTATTACTTTAGGTAATTTATTATCATTCTGGCTAATTAGAACCTAGTTCAGAAAAAATATAAATATTTTAGTCAATCAGTTTTAACTACATCTAACCTTTATTAGGATCACATTTACATAAAAGTAATTTTGAATTCAAATCATTAATTAGTTCTGCTGTGAAAACCTTGTAGCCCATATTGTTACCAATCAACACTTTGCTGGATGGATACTTTTCATCTTTGTAAAACTTGTTCATCTGCAATTTCTCTCATTCTGAATCTTACATTTCTCTTCTGACCTACAACTGAACTCTCATTCTCTTTCACAAGGACCTGACCGACATAGGAACCTTGATATATAAACTGAAATACCAAAAAAAGCTAGAGTATACTGGATACTAATTACACTGTAAAAAGATTGTTTGGGTCAGAAAGGTTACAATTCAGATGTAAAATTTGATGTCTGTAGAATGATCAATACTGGGAAACATCCTAAAGTAAAAAAAGTTTTTGAGATTAAAATATTATTAAAGCTAAAATTAAATAAAAAAATTTTCATATCATTTTCAAGTTCTGGAAAATCTTTAAATCTGAACATTAATTGCTATTCTGATGTCACTTATGTTAGCTTGGAAGATGGCTATTTGCTGAGTAGTTTTATCATCTTCATTGGAGGTAATCTGAACAAAATGGATCTAATGTGTTGATCATCAAAAAATCTACATTATGGAATGAAGAATTCACAAGCTTTAGAAACTCTGCACACTGTGAAGCAGCTGATGCCAATGTCTTTGTGATGGCTATGATACAGAAAGTATTCCAATTGCCCAGGTTATCAGAAATACTTTGCAAAACTGACAACTTTATACTCCTTAGCTTTAATCTCACCTTGCTAGTGATTGTTATCTAATAATTTATGTGGCATAAATAAGTGAAATGATGAAGAAACAAGTTCAGATCAAACAAATTGAAGGGTATGGACAAGTTTCAAAATCTTTGAAGGTTAAGTTTGAGAGACAAATTGCATCACTGACATCTCTATATAGTATTGCTTAAGACAATGATTTGGATTGTGCTTGTTGAACTTTTAAATTTGTTGATGTTATTTTACATATCTTGGAAGTGAAGGACTTTTAAATTTGTTGATATTTTACATACTTTCTACCTAATGCATTGTTGGAAGTGAAGAACTTCAGAAGAAGATATAATCAATGGGGAAGATGTTTGCTTATCTTCCCTTACTTTTTTATGTATGAATTGAATGGTTAAGTTATGACATGGTCCATCGTTTTGTAGGAAAACATCTGAGGGTTGCAATGAAAATTAACTGACAATTTCTCAAAATTTCAAGTGTATCTTGATTAAATGTCCCAAACAAAAGATAATTTTGAAACATCATTTGGAATTGACTTCTTAATATGCACAAAGTATATATGTATATTATAGTTATATACATGGTCCCATGCACATTAGCTGTTGTTGGCCATGAAAAATCAGGAAATCCCAACAGCCAAAATGGATCTTCAGTAAACTTATGTAAAGCAATTAAACATCCAATATGTAGAAATATTGTTAAATTAGAAATTGTAAATTTCTTTTGATGCATACTCTTCTTATTAGTTAAGTATCTACCAATGACGGGAGATGGAAAAATCAGCAGCACTGGAATCAAACACTAAAGGAACTAAATACTGTATCATGATGAGCAGGGAACAAAGAAGTTTTCCATATGGGATCACCACATGTACAGGACAAATGCAGCTAAGACACCCAAAACACAAACAAGGACAAATGAATTTCAAACAACACTGCATAACATGGTAACCCACGACAATCACATTATATGGTCAACACGGCCCACTGCTAGTCTGCCACTTTCTGGAAAATGTGCCTGCTTTTATGGAGGCTACAACTTTAGCAGTTGGCTAGCAAAAAGAATCATTTGCATATCTAATCTTGACTATTTCATGGGGAAGCTGGTAGACACTTTCTTCATGACCTGATGCTCTGGAGTTTATACCAGCTCTGTTCTGGCAGAGCAACCATTTGCGTTCTTTCTGCAGAGACAGCACACTAAATGTTGTCTCTTTGACTGACAGGGATGGGTACCATTATCAATAGCAGTGAGCAGCTGTGTGTGCATTTTGTTTCTGCCACATCTTTACATAGGTTGGTTGGGTTTGAAACCAATCAAATTTCTGCTACTGGAAAAGATAAACAACTCAGATTATGGTTTGATTTATCACTTAAAGGATGTATTGAAATAGTCAGCTAAAATTGAGTATTTTTGATAAGAGAATCTAATGTTTTCCCTTCTTTGTCAGTGATAATCTTTAAATGCATGAAAATAATAAATGTTCATTTATTGTTTCTTTTCTAGACAACTATCAAAGGTGCCAACTGGTGTCACAACCAGCTTTTGCAAAAAGTTATCTGGTTTCCCATGGAGTTCTTTGATTGCAATCCTGTTGGAAGAATTTTAAACAGATTCTCTTCTGATATGGATGAAGGTCAGTAATTATAATTTTAGCTATTGTTTATGAAGATGTGTTCAGATGTCCTCATATCAGAAACCTCGACTAAAACCTGGTTCTTATGTGCAAATCATTATTCAAGAAAAAAGATAGTTTAATGCTAATTTATTGTGTTTTTAACTGCTTGGAATTCTTTATTAAATCATTTTCCATTCTCATATACATTTCATTAATGATAGGTCACAAGTTTTCTATTGGATTAATATCTAAAAAGGTTAAGGGTTATTCTCTGAATGCGTCTTTGAAGCCTTTTTAGCAAGGTAAGCAATAATTAGCTTAGAAGAATGTAAAGCATCTTTGTTTTGTATGAGTATATTCTTTAGTTTAAAGCTTGTGACATGTACCACTCAAAAATATTTTATTAAAGGACTTACAATAATTCTCTGCATTTATCAACTTTGAAAGGACTTATAATTTTACTGCCTACTGACATGTTGAGAAATCAGTTTCATGTCCTCTTTCATCCAATTTACACCTTTCTTTTTGTGATCTTTACTTAATTAAAGTAAATTAAATTAATTTAGTAAATTATAAACATTAATTAAGGTAAAGGCTAATGTTCTTAATATTCAGCATCTTTTCTCTATGTTTATATTTGCAACACCAACTACTTAAATTATTTTCTTTCTGATCAGTCCACTTTTACTGCTTTTAATTTTATTCTCAAATATTTTTGTGACATTTTTAAAAACGTTTTTATTTTCTTGTTCATATCTGGCCAATGTTTTCAGTTTCTTTTTTGATTGTTCCATGAATTCTGTTTCACCTTTTTTTGTAATTTCCAAAATTGTGTTCTATTTGCAATCTCCAAATTGTTTTCCCATTACTCAATACCTTTACAGTACCTTGTATCTCTCTTGAAGATTACATCTTTTTAAAAACATGTAGCAATCTTTATATATCTAAAATTAAAGAATTAATATTAATAATAATAACTATTATTTTTATTTACAATATGTTGAACAACCCTCAAGATGCATAATAAAACCATCAAATATATTATTGTAAATATTTTTAATAAAAATAAATAATATAACCTGAAATTTACTTGCTATATTTATCTTATAAATATATCCTGAAGGTTTTTACCAATATTGAGTAATACCAATTTTATTGTAAAAAGATTGACTTGCATAATAAAATCTTACATATTGTAATTTATCTTGAAACTATAAAGTCAACAATTTTGCATGCATTGTATCTGTGGAAAATATTTTCTTCATTAATATGCTTAAATTCTTTATTTTTTTCATGTTTATTAATTTATTTTGACTTTTTTGTCATTTATAAAGTCTGTATTTGTGAGTTTTGTTCTGATTTTTCCATTTTACCTGGATTGAATTTAACACTTAAAAGGCATATTGAAGGCTAAAAGCAAAATGACAACTAACCTACTTAATGAGTGAATAATTGGATGGCAGAAGAGAATTACAAATACAAAGAGGTGTTGGAAAGGGCAAAAGTTACTTAAAATAACAAATGACAGGAAATTGTGAAGAACCTACATCCTGAAAGAACATAGCACATAAAAAAGAATTAATTTCTGTTTCTTTTTTCTTGTTTAGAATTTATTATATCTTTTCCTCTATACTGTCCTTTTTAAATATATGTTTTAATTTCCATTTTTAAACAACAATCTGTAATTTGAAATCACCTGAGTGTTTGGTGTAACTTCCATTGCAAAAATAGACAAATCCAGTTGCTGCAAAAAAGAAACAGTTTGGTTGTTTGTAAAGAAAGTTGGCTTCCTTTGTTCTCACAGATTACACTTGATAAGAAAGAAAAACATTTTGTTAACAGCAAAGAAGATATATGAGCCTCCAAACAATGTGGGATATATTAACAACTCTTCTCAACATTATAAATAATAAATATGTTTATATTTCCTTTTACTTATCTGTACATATCTTTCATTATCATTAACCAAAATATATATTTTTTTTAAATATTAGCATTAATTTATATCCATTTAAAGAAATATTTTCTTTATTTTTCATTAGCTTCTGATTGGATTTGTCTTGTTGAATGATGTGAACTTTCAACTAAACTTTATTTGTTGTTTTTACTATTAAATTTTCTCAATATTTCTCTTTATCCAGTACAAATAGCATTTTTCCTTAAACTTATATTTTCCTTTTCATTATTTTCTAATTTATTTCTTCAGTTGATTCCCGACTGGCTTCATTGATGGAAATGTTTTTTATGAATATACTCTCACTTCTTGCTGCTAATATCTCTATGATTATTGTGGTTCCGTGGATGTCAGTTGTTAGTATCCCATTAATGATTGCCTTTGTATTACTGAGTCGTATATTTGCAACCAGTCTTCGAGAAATCAAGAAGAAAGACAATGTAACACGTTCCCCGCTCATCAGTCTTATCTCAGCAACTATGCATGGCCTTTCAACTATCTTTGCTTACAAGAAAAATCAATTATTCATTGACAGGTAATAGAAAAAGTATTTATGTAATTTACTAATATCTTTTCATCCTATTTAGTTCCATATAGCTATCTGAAGAAATTTAAAGATAAATTTTGATTATTTGTTTTATTCCTACTACTAAAAATTTTTTAAATTATATATATATATATATATATATATATATATAAATTTTATGTTCTAAGAATTCCAATGAAAATTCTTTTTATAGCAATAAAATTTTATCTATAAAATAAAGTAATATGTAAGATAAACAAAATGTTAAAGACACTGATGATTATTTGAGATATTTATTCTGGGAAATATCTCAAGTTAGCTATTTTCAAAGTAAATAGTTTGAAAGAATAAAAAAAATGATAAAAGTTTTATGCTGAAGAATATTTTAAAAATATGTGCTATAAAGTAATAAAGTGTGATTATATTTTAGAAATTATGAAAACATCTGTTTCCATAAAATGAAATTAGAAATTATTTGAGATAATTTTATTTATGTTTAATTTAAGTTATTTTATGTTTACTTATGTTGAAAAATTCATTTATTAATTTAGATATTGCCAAATACAAGATGAAAATACTGTTCCCTTTTTCCTGTTCTACATGATGAATCGTTGGGTTGCAATTCGTTTGGACTTCATCTGTATTTTAATTTGCTTCTCTTGTGCCTTAAGTATTGTATTACTGGCTGATGTGATGCCAGCTGCTTTGGCTGGCCTTGGACTCTCTTTTGCTTTACAGGTATGGACTTTTTTTTCATATATTAAAATGTGTTTGATGCATAAACCTTTAAGAAAAAAAGCATACAACAAATAAGTGGCAACTGTGATTTATGTTTAGATAAGTCACACATTCATTTGTTGGTGGTGAATAAGATTTTACATAAAATATTTAACATTCATGAATTAAAAAGTCTCCAGCAGTATTTCTTAGGAACCCAGTACATAAGTTTTTATGGAATATAAAATGTTTATTTGATTAAAATATTTTTAATGCAATTTTACATGTTTGTGATAAATATTTATTTTATAAAGGTTACAAATTTATCGCAATATACTGTTCGCCTTTGGATTGAACTTGAAGCCAGATTTGATTCAATCAAAAGAATTAAGGAATATGTAGACGTAAGTTTTTTTTCTGTTTTTATTTCTTTATTCATTATACTTTAGAAATATTGGCATATTTTTAAAAAATATGAATTTATTTTGAAACTGATTCAGCACATTTATTGACATAATAAGTTTAGTGAAATATAAACTTTCATATGAAATTTTTCTAAAATTAATACTTTTTTGTTATATTAAAACTACTGACATTAAGGAATATGTAGACATACAAGTTTTTTCTGTTTTTATTTCTTTATTCTTTGGTACAAAGCCACAGTAATGAAGCACAAAGTAAACTTATTGCATGAGCAAATTGGTAGCTTATCCACAGAATTGAGATTTATTTGTCAATGAAATGTTGACAAAACATAACCAACATAAGAAAAAAATTGTGATAATGATTGGAAATAGAGTAGAACCAGAAGAGAGTAATTGGGAGAAAAGCTAATGTGTTACAATAAAATATCTGCAAAACTCTGTTGAACTATTTTTCCAGTATAGCTGTCTATCTCAATTTAACAAGTCATAATAAACAAACTTTAATTTTATAGCAGTAATATTGTCCATTCATCTGCTATGATTGTTAATTTGCTTTGGAGCTTTGAGTTTTACATCATAGGTGGCAGTGGACAACAGTTTGGACCTTCCTACTGCCTTTCCAATTGTCTACCACTTCATTAGCAGCTGGGAATTGAGAAGAATGAAGAGAGGATACAGTATTACTATTCCAAATCTCTTTTTCATGATGATGTTATTTTAATGGTAGTAAATTTTAAATGACGGAAACCTATTTATAATAAAACAGTAAGATAGGGCAATTAATTCTTTGGTGGCTGATGTTTCAGGGTCTGCCTTCTTTTGACATTCTATAGTCTCTCCACAGTGTCAGCAAACTGTTTTTCTCAGACTTGGAGCTTCAAATAAGTTTTTGATGACATGGAATGTAAATAAACAAATTAAAAAACACCAGTCCTGTGAGATGTGGGAAAGTTTTTATTATTTCAAAAGTCTGGAGAATGAGATATTGTGACACTTGGCATATTGTTGGTGAGGTTGGTTGAAATTGTCGAAGAGTTACGAGCTTCAGAAATCAATATGATGATATGTACAGGAATGAAAGTCACCAGCATCTGACTGCAACTCTAACCTGGAATACTGCTATAGTGTCATTTAAATAAGAATGATCAAGGAGTTCAATTCATTTGAAAAACAAAAATAGTACTTGCAGTTAATTCGGTATTAATAGGAAATAGTTCACAGATTTGCCCATGTCAACATCCAGTACCACAAAAAAAAAATTACAGTGGGTGAAAGACATGAAAATATGATAATAAAATCAGTAAAATCACAGAACATAATAATGAACTGATCCATTAATCAACCGATTCAATCTCACCATTATTGTCATTGAATGGTTTAAAGTTGGTCATAACAAGTATACAAATATTCAAAAGTAAAAAAAAAATATTTTTCTTACAAAAATTTAAAAAATGCATAATATTTAACAGATTTTTCAAAAAGTCGGCAATTTATATACATTTTAGAAAAGTGTGTTTAAATGGAAAATTTTCACCATCTTAATTTTCTAACACCAATAATTATTTTTAAAATAATTATTAAATAAATACTATTCTATATGAAAAGAACATGTTTTACACTAAGATGAAAATTCATCTCTTTTCTGTTCATGTACATTCAGAAAATGTTGTAATACCTGAACATTATTGATAGATTTCTAACTGATTGTTGTCAGAAAACATTTCTCCGTGCACTCTTTATAAATGTATCTTGTTTTAGTGATTTTATAATGTGATAAAATTTCCTTTTTGTTATATGACTCTTACTTTCTCCATTATTTTCATTTCATAGGCTTTGACATATTTTGTAGTTATATCAGTTTTCATTCATTTTCAAATAAATGATTAATCAATAATCATAAAACAGAAAAATTTTCTTTTTGATGAATAAATTGTATTTTTCCTTTGTTTTAGAAAAATGAATCAGAAGCAGATTCAAAAACTTCACCTGAATATGCTTTATCAGCTGACTGGCCAACCAGTGGACATATACAATTCAACGAATACAGCATGAAATATCGTAGCAATTTGCCAAATGCTCTTAAGAAAATATGTCTAGATATTTCTCCTTCTCAAAAACTTGGTATTGTTGGAAGATCTGGTTCAGGTAAGTCACTTTTATTGCTAATATACTCTTTTTTTTCTTTTTAGAAATATATTTGTTTCTGTTGTCAATTGTCATTGACTTAGGAAGATGTTATTTTTGTCAATCCTATTAACTATTAAATATTTTCTTTTAATCTGTTTAGGAAAAGTAATGAATACCTTCTTTCTGAGAATTTTCTATCATTATATTCTAGAAAATTTTTCATTTATAATATATGATATTTCACTTAAATTAACTAATCTTTTTACTTAGTAAAACAGAAATGAATAAAGCCCAGTTGGTTATAATAACTGCTGCTATAATTTCTTGTTAAATGTCAGTATTTTATTTTTGTTTTTTTAATTTTAGGAAAATCCTCACTTGGTGCTGCTCTCTTCCGACTGGTTGAACCATCAGATGGAAACATTATTATTGATGGTTATGATATCACAAAAGTAGGCCTTCAAGATCTTCGCTCTCGCATATCAATCATTCCTCAAGATCCTATTCTATTTAGAGGCACAATCAGGTAAAACATTTTCTCTCAGGAGTCAGTACATTTTGTCAGTGGAAAGCTTTTCTTTTTAAATGTCATTGTTGTTTCCTTTGTTAGAAAATAAATGAAATTATGTATTTCTTACACTCAATTAATTGCTTGTTCTGACTGGATTTTGCCCACCTTCTCATTATATGCAAGAATATTTGCCCTGAAAGAGCAGAAGCATTTACTAGAAACAGTAAAAATTTTGTTATTTATTAAAACTATTCTTTTGGAAATAACTCAAGAATTTATGTTAACAAGTAGTTATTTTATTGCTTGTAATTTTGAAAATTTCAATGATTTTTCTTGAGTATTAATGTATGTTGTTTTGGAAAACTTTTCTCTTCAGATATAATCTGGATCCATTGCAGAACTGTAATGACTTTGAACTTTGGGAAGCTCTTGAAAAATGTCACATTAAGAATAGAGTGAGTAATTGATAATGAAGAATTATCATTGAATTATTTATATTTTGAGAATACTTTCTACTTATATAGAAATTAAGTAGAAAGAGTAACCTATATTTTTCCAGTTCATGTAGTTGTAGAGCAAGTTTTAATCATACTAATAGATGTGATGTCATAACTTTTGTTCTTTGTTTATTAATTTCATCACTCATACATTGTAGTTCATGTCATATTTGTCACTGTGGAGACAATATACTATTTTAATACGAACATTCTATATTTTCATAGTATACTTTGATTGTATCTTTGTTGTTTCCAGAAAATCTCACAGCTTAGACTAAATTGTCTTTCAGTGTTGGTAATTTTGTATCTTTTTCTTTCTTGCTCAAAATGTCTTAACATGATGATATGCCATTTTGGAAAATTATAACACACCTCAACTCATTAGTTTCTCTTATAAGGTTGAAATCATAATTAAAAGTAAGTTAAAAAATGTTAATTTAATGAACAAAATATTCTAACGTTTTTGCTTTATTATATGCTTTGCTATTTCAGACTAGCATCCTTATCTTTACAATATTCCAGTCTTCTTCAGATCTCTCTCTTCATATATAACTTTCTTTGAATTTTGAACTGAATACTTTATTCAATCCACAGGATAGATTGTTTTTATTCTGCTTTCCATACTTAGGGAATATCTGTATCAGTTAATACTCACCAGTCTTGCACTGAATAAAGGGTTCAGTACAAAATTCTAAGATGGCTACCAAGTACAAAAACTGACACTTGAAGAAGGCTGGTGATTACAGTGGCTAAAACATTGGGAGTATAACAACCAAGATGAACGTGCTAGTCTGAATAGCAAAGATATTTAATGATAAAAATTCTGATATAAATTTTTTTGCCTATCAAATATGTTTTCTTTTAAATTCTAGTGATGAATGTTTAGACAACTAGATTAAGAGTAACTGGATTATGTATTAAAAATTTATCTTCACAGAAATGAGATTCTTAAAGAAAAATATACAGTGGGGAAAATAAGTATTCAATGCATACTAAAAAATGAATTTATTGCATTATTTACTTACAAGGATAGTAAATAATTATTTCAAAATTATACAACATATAAGTTTCATTTTTTATAATAGTAAAGATGAAGAAACATTTCAATACATTTATATGAAAGATAGTTAAAAAAAATAGAAGAAAATGTTATTCAGTACTCTGCCTAAAGCATAATCAAAAAGAGACCAATACTTTGGGAAATAATGTTTGTTTGCAAAGATAGCTTCCAGACACTTCTTATAAGTAATTGTTAGCTTTAAACACTTTTCTGCTAGTATCTTGAACCACTCTTTATGGGACATCTTTTTCAGTTTGTACAAATTACTATGCTGATGAGAATGGACACAGATTTTCAATCAGCTTCAGGTCAGGGCCATTTTAATAGGCTGATTTTCTTATTTGCAAACTATTGTTTGGTTGCATTGGAAATATGTTTAGGATTGTTCTGCTGTTGAAACAATCAATTATGCTTCATAGAAGGTTCTTGTATAATATATTTTGGTACATGGCCCCATTTATTATCCTTTTGATTATGTGAAATCATCCACTACCTTATGATGAAAAACAGCTCAATACCATTACTTTACAATCTTTATCCTTTACAGTTAAGATGGTGTTCTTTGGTTTGAATTTTTCATTCTTCCTTCTAAACTTGATGTGAATTGAGACCAAATAATTCTATCTTGCTCTTATCAAACCAAAGAATAATATTCCAGTAGGTGTCTAGCTCCATAGCAAATTTAAAAAATGCCACTAAATGTGATTTCTTCAGGAGTGGTTCTTCTCATGCTTGACAAGATCACAGGCCATGTTGACTGAGCATATTACTGACAATGTTGTCTAACTAATCTGTGCAAGTTCTTTTGTATTTCTACTGGTGCATGAGGTGCATGAATGAAGTTGTAGTTCTTTACTGATGGTTCTGTAACCTTTAGTTTTATGATAAAGAATAACTATGTTATCTCTGAGTTTTCTAGGAATGTTTCTTAGTTTTCAACATTATAATTGTAGCTGCAGCAATGGCTGATACATGGTCATCTCAAGAATAGTTACAGTTACCTAGTATTTTCTAGAACAACCTTTACTGATGACTCTGTAAACTTTACTTTTATGATAAAGATGAACTAAGGTATCTCTGAGGTTTGTAGGAATGTTCCTTAGTTTTCAACATTATAATTTTAACTGACACAGTGGCTTGTGGTCAACTGATACACAGCAATACCAAGAATGGTTACTACTACTTAGTACTTTCTAGAATAATCTAATATTGTTTAAAACCAACCACCAAGAAATTTACATTCTCCAGAATTATTACTTTAGTCATTGTATGAATAGGTACCAAATACTTTTTTATAACCTTAAATCAATTTTTGAAGTATTTACTCATATGTACTAGTATCAGGATGAAACCTACATGTAGTGTAATTTTAAGGTAATTCTTTACTGTGTGTGTTGGTAAATATTAGGTTGGTGCAAAAATAATGTTGTTTTCTCTTTTGAAGTTGAATGTCAAAAAACGACATTATTTTTGCACCAACCTAATAATTCAACAAACTGATTTTATGGCATGTATGGAATACTTATTTTCCTCCTTGTATTGGGGTTCACCTGAACATTAAATATATTTACAGATCTAATATTTAGAATTAATGTTTCATAAGTGATAAAAATTAAACAGCAATTTTGTGGAGTAATTGTCCATGATTAAGAGCAATTGGGAAAATGCTCAACAAACAGAATTAACAAAGTTCTCAATAAACAATAAGAAAGGGAAGAAATGAACAGAGCAAAATAATAGTAAGCAAACCATATATATGCAACACAAAACTAGGCAAAGCAACGGTAATAAGGCAAAAAGTTCACAAAGTAAGAATTATGTTCATATGCAAAAGGGATACAGTCAAGTGATTGTAGTATTCTGACTTCAAGACAAGAAAAAACAAAAATATGGCAGATTAAACCAAGAATTGGTCCATTTTTATTCGTTAGGAACAAATCCAAGCATGCATCTGTGAGATTTGCCTATAAATGTCAGAGAGCAATGTGCTTCGCAGTTTTTCCCAGAGGTTGAAATATTTAAGATAATTAGTATATTTAATGAAAAAAAGATGTAACAATTTTAGAATAATAAATATTAAATAGTTTTCGTTAGTGATTATCAGTTTATCAGCAAATGAGCAATTAATCATGGAGAGAGATAAAGTAACTGTTTTCACCTCCTACTTTAAAAAATAGTTTCACTATAGCCATTTTGAAAAAGATATTGTCTCATGAATTCAGTAAAAAATAAATTTTCATTATAATGTCGAACTTTCATTCTCATTTGTTGATAGAGATTATATATTTGGATAAGATTGTAAACATAGATTTGAGTATTTTGGGGTATATTTTCTTGTCATTATTATAGTGGAAATATTGTAACTAACTTATTTTTTTTGAATACTTGATTGTTCAGTATTTGAAGATTCTTTAAAAAAGTCAGCAACTGCTAAGAGATAAACTTTGGATATGAGTTGACATTTTTTGGGGGGTCTTATTTTGCCTTAATCTTTCAGAGAATAATCTTTATGATGGATGTATAATATTTCACATATGTTTATTTGAGACATTGGATTTAATTTGTCTAATAAACATTGAAAGGAAACAGTTTTTGAAAATTCTGTTCCAATATTTATTATACATTTATATATCAACTGTTGCTTACTTAGCAATCTATAAAGTTAAATCTAAAAGAAAATTCTACAGCAGTGCATAAAGGCCATACAGTATTGGCATTACATAGTCTATTTGTTTTTTTGAGGTTTTTTATGCTAATAAAATCTTTTATACTGTTGAGCAGGATGGTATCACTAAAAAATTGGTGAAAATTGTTCATAACAACTTTTTCTAAAATTTAATCAACTGAATCCTACTTTATATTTCTATCTATAGTCACTGCAGATATAAAGTGAGTGGTGTACCTTAAAATTTGATTCTTAATCTATAAATAATGTTGAGATATTGAACTAGTATAATTTATTAATACAGGTTGAATCATTAGAAGGTCAGCTGAACAGTTTTATAGAAGAAAATGGTGAAAACTTTTCTGTTGGTGAACGTCAGCTATTTTGCTTGGCAAGAGCTTTGCTCAGAAAGTGTAAGGTATGTATAAACAAAAGTTGGATTCATTGTGTGTGTGTGTGTGTGTGTGTGTGATATAAATGAGAAGAGAAAAACAATTAGAACTCTTTAACAGATAACCTCATTTGTTCATCCCCACTTCCCTCTACCTTTTATCTTTCATTTTATTCCTGTGTTCTATTCTGTAAGTTCCTTGTATAAATTAGGTGGATATGTTCTTAAAAAATTTAAATAATATATTTTCTTTGCTTAACAGTTGAGTTTAACTCATGGCATTTTACAGTTTCAGGTTCCTTTCTAATTCTAATAATTTATGATTGTTTATTTATGGATGAATAGATCAAGAGGGTTCACAATTCCAACCAATTCTGATTTGTGATACATTTATATTTTTATAAAGAATTTTACTCATTTAAATCAAACACAGTTATTATTTTAATAGTATTTGTTTCATCTTAATTATAGTTGCTTTCCTTTGCAATGAAAAGAAATTTAAAATAAATAAAATGAATAATGACTGATAATATTTTAATATCAATCACATTTTTCTAGTAAAAGAAAATGTAAATGATAATTGGTGTTAATATTCATTTTGTTTGAAAAAATGCCGAAACTGTTTATATTAAACGTTTTTCTATTATGCATAGTAAAAAAATAAAACCATAAAAAATTTGGTGCAAGAAATCTAATATTTTCAACTATAATAATGATTAGACAGTTGTAATTTTTATTTGTGATTTATTTTCATACACTTATTACTATTTGTTTTCAGATAGGATTCATTGGGTGTGAAAGGAAGGATATAAACAATGATAGAGCTTCTGAGAATGAAATTTAACACAAAGCGATCCTTATACCAGGCCTATCAGTCTCAATAAACTAATAATATCTAATATATTGATATCTGGGGTCAAAAACTGGGGGTGGACATGTGGAAACCTAAATTACTAGTAAATATCAATTAATGAGAACATTTTTAGCAAGAAACTTGTTAGTAATGACCAGTAATTAGTTAATAATTGTAAGATATTATATATTGACTTATTTCCATAAATGCAATACAAAGAAAAAACAAAAATACCATAAAATAACTAAATACACAAAAATCACTTTATTCACCATAAATTAGACATTTTTAGATGATATTGCAAAAATAATGAGTTAATTTGTTTGTGCCAATTGATTACAGAAAATATAATTGTATAATACAATCAGAAACCAATTACAGCAGTTTACAAAATTGTTTGAAAATACTTTACAAAAAAATGTGAATTTCAGAGAAACAATAATTTTACAAAATTTATTGCGATTTCTGTTACATGTACAATTTGTTTCACAGAAAATGTAGAAAATGCTTATCATACAATAATAGATATTACCAGTATACATAGTTTTAAAAATTAAAATCAATTTATATTAATAAGAACACAAAATGAATTAACAGGATAATTTAGGGAGTTAACCAATTAAATATATTTAAAAAGTGGGGAAATTGAAAATAAAAAATATCTGGTAACCCTGTGGTATCCAGTGTAATTTTTAAATTACCATAATCTATTTCTTTCAAAAATGTTCATATTCTTGAAAATAAAAACCAATATTAAATATTACTTCTTCTGTGGGACAATCTTTTCCTGTAACATAGCTTGCTATATACAAAAGTGACATTTTAATATCTTTAGGGATCCTAGTTTCAAGGTCTGGTAAGTTATTAAATGTTTCACATCCCATTTCATCCAGCAAATGTCCACATTTTGAGCAATTATGGCCTGGATCAACGTTGTATTCTTTGACATCAACATTTAATTTAAAAAGTAGTTTAGTTTTTTCAACATGAATTTTTCAATAACATTCTGAACTATGCATCTCCAGAATATTGTCTTAATTTTCCAAATTGATTTTCTAAATAGCCTGTGGTAAATTCATCAAGCATAACAAAATTAAACCCACTATTTAGCTTATCTACATACATCAATTAAGCCATTGCATGTATGTTCAATGGTTAAACTAGTGTCTCTTGTTAATGATTTCATTCTTTTTCCTTGCTTTCCTCCCATTCTTTAAAAATAACAGTTGTTAATCATCTAAATCTGATATCACTTTTTTCAGTGGATCTTTTTTCTTAGTGTTACTCTATATTTCTTTGACACAGACAATTTTCCAAAATTTTTAAAATTTTTCAATAAAATTAAATTTTTCTACAGTATCCTCCCCATTTAATAATGGGTATGTTTTAACGGCAGCTACAGTGTGATCATAAAAAATTTTAAATAATGGCAAACATTTTGTCATGTAACAGGTTTTGGGTAAACTTTTCTTATGCTCAAAAAAACCTTTTACAATTTCCCATTTTGCTGTCATCTTTTTACCTTCAGAATAAAACAGTAATTCAAAAGTAGATTCTGTAATCCAATTATTCCAAATACTTTTAAAAAGGTGGACATAATCAAAAAGTAAGTACAAACCATTTTTAGTTATCCAATGACAAATTTTTGAAAAAAAGATTGATGGGTCCTGTTATTGTCACATACAGTTGCAATTACTTGACAATTTTATTGCATCAACAATATATAAAATTTTTTTCAATAATTATTTTTTCTAGAAACTACAATCATTTTGCACATTTCGCACAGAAACAGAAGTTTTATATGTTGGTTTTGGTCTGGCAAAAAATCAAATATTGATGGTGGATTTCTGGGTTACACTTTTCTTGTAATAACCATTGTTTCATAATCAGATGGGAAATGCTTTTCACAAACAACAGTGTTTGGTTTGCTCTTGCTCATGTCTTGGGGAAGACAAAGTACACAAACCTTATTTTGTTAATCATAGTTACAACAACAACACTTTTTGGCCATTTTGGAGTACTGAAATTAAAAAATATTAATTAAACTATTACTTTGTAAAAATTACAATTTTGTTACATGGTGCTTCTAAAAAGTGTATGAAGCTTAAATTCTAAGGTCTGGAGAATTTAGGAGTCAGAATTAAGAATTTAGTGTTTGCATGAATGTAGGAATTTGTCATCTTTTTCTTATGTTACTTTTTATTGTCTTTAAGGAATTATGTGGTTCTAAAGGATTTCCAAATTGTTTCACTGATTAGAGTCCATTTTATGTTGAAGTTAAATAGTGAACTAAACCTACCTCATTAAAATTTTTGGTTATGACACTTGTGAATTTCCCACTGAAAAAGTTTGTTTAAAGATAAAATATACAAGTTCAAATAAAATGAATAAATATTATACTTACTTCCATATCTTAAATAATCCAAGTTAATCTAAAGATAAAGTGAAAAAATTTCTTTACAAAAAATTAATTTTTTGATCAAATTCCAGCAATGAATTTTCACATGTTAACAGTTCACTTCCAATCGCTCACTGGCCTAAACATGATATAGAGGGCCTGGTATAAGGATTGCCTTGATTTAATGGCATATCCACACTGATTAGGATTGTGATATGTTAAATTGAAAGTGGGTTGATAGCCACACAAAAATTGTCCATCAACACTTCCTCTTAGGGGAGAGCTCGGGGGCCAGTTAATAACCCTGACCTCATCCGAAGAAGAGGTAGTACATGGAGAAACAGCTTGAGCACATAATATTAATTTTGAAACCCCTGGCCTGAGAAGCTTCTAAGAGGGAGAATATTATCTGGAATCCAATTAATGTTTAGCTACTTCTCCTCAGCTTGTTGTTGAAAATCATGCATGCAAAGAAATATCTACTAATATTTTCATCCTATATTTGACAAGATGGTTGCCATTTCTGGAATTAGTTATCAAAATTATTACTTCAGAATTTTGATTTTAGCAATAGCAGTGAACTTAAAAACAAATTGGAAATGACTGAATAATAAAATAATTATAAGTAGTAGCAGTATTTCTTTCATATTTTATTAATTTTGACTTTCATCTTAGCAGTGGAGACAGCTGGTTGTTCACTAGATTTGTCTGAGACAAAAAAGGACATTAGCTCAAATGTCACTGATGAGAGTTTATTCTTTATTTCTGTTTCTGTATTGTCTACTCACTGTGATAGATTGAGAGCCTAAATAAAGTTGTGATAAAAAGCAACTAAAATGAAAGCAAATAAAAATAATAATAGCCCACCTCCTTAAGTGCTATGTCCCTTCAGGATATAGGCAATCATAGCTTTTAACCGTTCCCTTTTTTTCCATTTTTTAAAAATATTTTACACTTTACATTGTCATAACTTCTTTCAAATGATTTTTTAGACTGGTTGCCAACCCCAGCTAGAGAGTCCATTGTACCCTATTATTTAGTAATATTGTTAGTGTAAAAACAAATATGATACAGAGATTGTGAAATGGAATGATGAGTCCTGTTGTATTTTTGACATGATCACTTTGAGGGTACTTTTTCAATACATGATAAAATAACCATTAATTTTTACATTCTAATGTTTTTTTCTTTTTTTGCAGATTACTTAATATCAAAGTAGGTAAATTTGATAGTAAAACATTTTCATGAAATCAGAAAAGTGTTTGAAATTTGGTCAATGTGTTCCTCATCATCTGACTGCTTCTAAGCTTAAAGTGTTTCCATCTTTACCTGTATGAATATATCACTAGTGATGAAAAGTGCATTCTCTATAATCAGATCCAATAAAAAGAAAATAGTTAGCACCTATTGAAAATGAAGAATCCATCCCCATAGAAAATTTATGCTCTATGTTTATGAAGGGTGTTGTTTATCATGAAGTGCTAAACAAAAATTAAAGACTTAATGTGGAGAAGTATTTTTGTCAATTGAAAGCATTGCACAAGAATTTGCAGTTAAACATCCATAAGTTTTTTTTTATTGTAAAAGTGTGTTGCTTTTATATGATAATGCAAGACCATATATTACCTGATTCACTGAGGAAAATATTATATAAGTTTTATCTCATCTGACCTTGCTTCATCTGATTCTCATATTTTCAGATTACTGCAATATTTTTAGAGGGAAAACAGTTTGTTAATTGTGAAAAGGTTGAAACTGATATTCAGTGTTTCTTTGTATTGAAACCTGAAGAGTTTTATGTCTGAGGAATTTGCAATTTACCAAATAGATGGAATTATGTCATTGATAATGAGGAGAAATGTTATCTTGATTAAAGAAGCATATTGTTTTTTATTCCAGAATTTTTTTTCTAACCTAATAGTTTAATGGTTAAGCAGTTGGTGCATTCACTAGTTTCCCTGGGGCAAAAAGGACACAAGTTAAAATTGTATTAATTTTGATTTTTCTTTTATTAATCCAACATATTTTTTATTTTAATGCTTAAATGTTGGATTAAATATCTCAGATTAATAAATGAAAAATCCTTTCCTAAAAAATTGTCTTTGTTTACGTTAGGATAAAAAACTGAGCAGATATGTATATTTTGAGAATCAGGAAAGTTCTGTGTTCAAAAAGCACTATTTGGGCTTTGCTTGACCATTAGGTTCTCTGTAAGCAAGAGGTTAAAGCACATCAGATCTTATGACAGTTCCCCCTAGGGGAATGTAGGTTCAAATCCTGCATGAGACCACATAAGACTTCTCAAACATTCAGGCCAGTAAATGAAATAAATAAGTATACTATATAAAAACAGAGCATCTACTCAAATATGAGTATCTACTAAAAATAATGTTTAAGCAATAAAAAATATATATCCATGTAGAATAATTTGTATATTGCTACAGATATTCTATCCGAATTTGTATTCTGACATGAAAGCAACAATATAATGTCATAATGTTTTTGATTTAAATTTCATGTTTCTTTCTTTGCAAGGATGTTTTTTTTATTTTTGTAAAATGAAATGGGTTTGTGATTATTGCAATTAAATTTATATAAGAAAAACAACATTTTTAGCTGTCTTTAGAAATGCAAATTTGTCATTTACTAGAAGAAAAATCATCAATCTTTTCCTTTAAAATTACTATAGACTACTGATATTTACTGTAAATTTACTTTCTGACTTAATGAAAATCATCATTGTTAATATCAAATTGTTTTTAAAACTTGGCAAAATTGCTTTATGAAATTTGTGAAATACTGTTTCAATTTTAGATTTAATAAATTTGAACTTAATCTGAAATCATTATTTTGATTTGAAAGTAGAAGGAATTATCTGAACAGAAAATCCTTTATTTTTTCTTTTTTTTTGAGAACACAACTAGCTTAAAAGTATCCCTATTGCGCAGCATTTAAGCTAGCTCCTGTGGAGGGCTTCGATTGGGCCTTTGGCCCAACAATGACATTTCATGCATTGAGTACATATTAAATTTTATTAAACTTGAACAATATTTTTCAAACAATTAACAGTTTTCATCAAAACAATGATATAATTTGTCTTTTTGGAATTTATTGCAAAGCTGCACGATAAACAACACCTTTTGGTTTTCCCATTCAGGGTCAGTACAAATAGCTTGTTTCCATTCCCAACCCTTGAACAACCAACATAGTGCTGGTAGTGAGTTCCATCAGATGAAATCCAGTTACTTTCAGTGATTGTTTGTGGGACTTAGTGAATGATATTGTATAACTCATTCTCACTGGAAACTGAAGTTTTTTCAAATCAGAAGTAAGATCTGTAGGAATTAAGGTGATTCTTGGAATTAAAATTCTTTCCTTCTTTCCTGGACCAGTAAGCATCTCTGCTTCCAAGAGATGTGAAAGCATCTTCTTGACAATTAACCTTGTTCCAATACAAAGCTTTGGAGGATCCAATTTCTCAATAGCATAACTGGCATATTTTCTCTTAGTTCCAACTTGTGTGATGGCATTCCAGGAGGATTCACTGAGTTCAGGAACTCTATTGGATAATTCACTGCCTGCTGTTGTTCAACCACACTGTCAATAGAAAAGTACTTCATGCTTTTTCTTTTGGAGTTTCTTGGAGAAGTTTCCAGTTGATTCTTGGGAGGTAATATGGCTCTATCACAAAGCCAGTTTGAATCCATGAATTGGTGTTTAATGTTTGGATAACATGATTAATCAAGTTTTGGATACTTGAAACACAACCATTTGGGAGTGAAATATCTCCATTTTGGTCCATTTTGATGGTTCCATTGCTAAGCAGCAAATCTTCCTACTTCAAGGTCACCTGTGATTCTAACTCTCATGTTTGTTTTCAGGCCAAGTCTTTGAACATGACTCCAGATGTAAGAATTTTTCAGGCAAGCATTGACTTCATCAGCTGGATTTCCTCTTGCAATGATTGCTAATGATTGTCTAAAATCACCAGAGAATAGTACAGTGATACCTCCCATGATTTGTGAATTCTCCTTTCTAATGTTTTTGAGTGTTTTGTCCAGGGCCTCAAATGTTCACTTTTGTGCCATGGTACATTCATCCTAGACAATGAAGCTTGTCTCCTTCAGTAGCTTAGCCAAATTGGTTCCTCTTTTGATGTTGCAAATAGGGGTTTCATTGAAGTTCAAATCCAATGGAAGTTTGAAGGTGCTGTATGCTCTCCAGGCAAGAGGGTAGCAGCAATTCCAGATGAGGCTACAGCTAGAGGTGCTTTTCTTTTAAGTCTCACTGCATATAAAAGGTTTATACAAACGTTTTATATACAAACGATTTACCAGTACCTCTAGGTGCATCCAAGAAGAAAATCCCTCCATTGTTGTTGCTGATGTCATCAAAGACCTTCTGATACACTTGCTGTTGGTCTTGCTGCAACAAGGGCTCAATGTTTTGAACACATTGCTGCACTTCCATGTTGTATCTTGTTTCTCTCAAACATTTCTCTGTTGATTTGTCCAGTTTTTCTGTTTGAATTTGTAATCTGAGAATTCAATTCCAATCTTGGATGTGCAGGTCTCATTTTAAGAAATATTTAAAAGTTCTGTCCCTTTAATTGAAAAACATGCAGACATTTTCATATTTATTATATAGATGTTTAATTTTCATAACTTTTAGACACACAAAGTAATTATTATTACTTTGTTAAACTAAAAGAACATCAACACCTGTAAAAATGTGGAGACATCAAAGTTTCACACATTTGTCTTGCCATTGTTATTGCAATTTGATTGGTAATTAGATTCAGACAGTTTCCTTAAAAGCCTTGCACAACTGTTTTATAAAACCTCATCTCTTTTGATTTCAGATTCTAATTTTAGATGAAGCTACAGCCTCTATTGATACAGAAACTGATCATCTAATTCAGAAAACTTTACAAAATTCATTTAGTCACTGTACTATGCTGGTGATTGCACATCGTTTAAATACAGTTATTGACTGTAGCAGGATTATTGTTATGGAAAATGGCAAGGTGAGTTAAACAGTTCTCGGCACAATCTTTTGACAATAGTTTGTTGAGTGGAGATTAAGATTAAGATTTTAGCATTTGGTGAAATTACAAATATTCCTGATAAATGTCTTTTAGCATAATAAGAATATTGAATGAATATTGTTTCAGTTTTATTCATTTTAATTGGTCTCTAAAATAAACAAAGTTGCTTTATACCAGTTTCAGATTCAATAAAAGGATTGGTCTTGATTTTCAACCTTCAAGTTAGAAATAATTATCTATAAAAAAGAAAATTCATTCTACATTTTAATATTTTTAATAACTTGAATAATAAATCATTTAGTAATTAAATGGATTTTCTGTTGTGTCACTTGAAATGATATCTTGTTTATTTCTTTTTTATTCTGCTATGGACTATTTTGTTTCAAATTAAAATGAAAATATCAATGTTTTTTAGTACATAAAAGAAAAAAATTATTGATTCATTGATATGCAGATACAATTTTTAACAATAAATTCTAAGAATATTTTGTTTTTATGTGTAAAACTTGCCACATTTTTCTATTTTTAACAGATAGCTGAATATGGTAAACCTACTGTTTTGATTAGTATGAAGAATTCCAAGTTCCGAGCAATGTGGGAAGCATCAGAAACCAAGAAAACAAAATCCTGATGTTTTTATTTCATCAAAACCATCATTTTAATATAGAAAGAAAATTTCTATCCTTTTAAATCTTTTGACATTTCAATTTAAAGCATATCTAATTCAGTAAGAGTCATATTTTGTAACTGTTTTAAAATATAATGTTAAATGAAATGTCCCTCAAGTGAAGCCATATTTTTGCATTTCGAAAAATGAACTTCAACAAATGTATTAATAAGTATATATTTTATATGAAAGAATAGCAATTATAGATTTGTAAAACAAAGATATTTTATTCATTAAAACTTTTGGACGCATTTATTTCATCAACTTAATGACAAATTAACCATATATATATATATATATATATATATATATATATATATATATATATATATATATATATATATAAACATATATATATACATATATAAGCAAGTGTAAATGGATATAAATCCGACAGAATGAAGAAAAATTTTGAAAAAACAAACAAAAATCCTTAAATGTAGTTAAAATGAAAAAGAAATATATAGGCGTCTGACGTTTCGGTTTAATAAACCTTTTTCAAGACAATATTCATCAAAATACAATTCAGTTCAATATGACAAATACGATGGACATAAAAACACAAGTCTTATTCAAAACAGATAACTGAAAATTTTTTTTTTTTTTTTTTTTTTTTTGAAAATTTTCAAATTAAAATGAAAATATCAATGATAAATATCAATTGATAAATTTTCAGTTATCTGTTTTGAATAAGACTTGTGTTTTTATGTCCATCGTATTTGTCATATTGAACTGAATTGTATTTTGATGAATATTGTCTTGAAAAAGGTTTATTAAACTGAAACGTCAGACGTCGACATTTCTTTCATTTTAACTACATTTAAGGATTTTTGTTTGTTTTTTCAAAATTTTTCTTCATATATACATATATATATATATACATAAAACTAGCTTCATCTCACTGATTAATAATTTGTAACCTATCATTAAAATGCAATTGTTTTGGCTGAATATAAAAATTTATCTATGTGACAATATGAGTAAGTTTCATGTTTAGTTTTTGTTAGGAGTAAAAATGTCTGCCTCATTGGAAAACTCAGGGAAAATAAACATGAATTAATTTCATCAGTTGTTCATTTTCCAAATTAAACTCTTTAAAAACAACATTATGTAATCTGTAATCAAACAATGTTATTGTTAATTGCCTTCTTTTGTTTTACAGTTGTAACTTCATTACTTCATGAGATTCCCTAGTTTTATAATCAAGTAAATGAAAAACAAAAATGCATTTTGAATCATGATCAATAAATTGTTTTTGTCATGTGCTTTTATTGTTATATTTTTTTAATTATTTTTGTATGGTATTGTAATAATTACTTTATGACATGATTGTAATAATTACTTTATGAAATGATTTACGAAAAGAAATGTTATTATTTGCTTTTAAAAATCACTTATCTATGTTCCATAGGAAATTTTAAATATTGAAACAAATTTTCAAATATACTATTATGGAGCTCAGTGTGATGTAGTTAGAACTTGGTTCAGGAGAATTAACTCTCAATTTACTGTAGGCATTGTGTCAGTCTTATGAAAAATTTAACAAGAGAAAGAGAATAAAGCTCTTAGAAATAAGAGACAGTGAAATTGATTTTAGCTTGAGTTCTTTTTATTTATGGTTGTAATTACTGATTCCATTTGAGACATTGCTTTTTATCAAGAATTGGTTTTGTGAAGTACAAGTCTAATAAATATTAAAATGCCAGGTGAATAAAGCCAATCATCATCATTATTTAAAAAAAATGATATAAAAGAAACTTTTAGTATGTGATCCAACTGGTAGGCCCATTCAACAAAAGAAGTTTGAATCCTCATAAATTCAACATGTAATGTGTGACAACATTTATCTTAAATATTTTATTGTTGATTATTTATGCTTCATTTTTTTCAAGAAAAGGAGTAAAAATAAAACCAGTTGAAATCATCATCAATTTGCTGACAACACCATGATAATTTGCTCCTCAATATTAAATCACCATTAATAAAGTTAAAAATATTTTCATGAAATTGCTCATTTTCACTTGGGCTTGTTCTCATAAAACTGAAAAATTTTGGTGACAAGAAAAGCCTAAATTATTTTACATTACTTTCTTGCCTTTTAAGCATTTGAATATTATTCATTTTTCTGCTTGAAGATATTTTTTCGCTATAACTTTTTGATTTATATAGAAAATTTGGAGATATCAAATATAAGATAACAAGATGCTTGGTCTTGAGTTAATCAGGAAAATAACTGCTGATTTTTTTGGTGGGGCAAATAATGTTTTTTGTAATATACTAATGATTAGAAGTGTTACTCATTTGATTAGATTATCTTATTTTGGTGAGAGAAAAACTTCCATTCTGTTCTACTTTTTCTTGTATTTTTTTAGGTTAAAAGAAATAAAGAAAGATAAAAAGTTGTCAAAAATAAAATGACAAGGGAACAATAGTAAAGAAAATGGCTACAAAACTTTGTAAATAAGTTTAATTTCCAATTAGTTTATACCTTCCAGTGATAAACATTTAACAAATAAATAGAAATAGATCAAGAGTAGAAATGTTTCCTCACTTGGGAAAAATTAGTAGACAAATACAACAATATATGGAAAGCAAGTAATAAAAAATAGAAATTGAACAAAATAAAAACATGTATTGGGAAATTTCCCATTTGCAAAGAAAGAACAACTAAGTATTTTTTTTTACTGACAACTCTATCTCTTATTCATGAACGTGATTTGATAAAAAGTTAGGCAAATCATCTTTAATGCAACTTGGGGGAAAAGACAACTATTTTTATATAAGATTTATTTGAGGAGTGGGAGGGTGCACTGATATTCTAATTCATAGCAAAAAATGTAAAAACATGAACAACAAAAGATAACATCTGAAATGTGGATAAATGCAGAAGAATAGAGCTGTATTTTATTTCAAAGAATACATTATTTTCCAATCATTAATTTTGCCATTTGACATTGTATCTTTCAAATTTTACAAAAATACTTTTTAGATTTATATTGATAAATTTGTGTAGTCATTAGTGATGAAGAGAAACTGGATTGTATAGTGAGTCACATCTCTTACATTTCATTCTATATACAAACATTAAGTTCTGGCATAGCTCAATTTAAAATGAGTTGAGAAATAAATAATGATTATTACAATAGAACTAAGAATTGTAACCATAAAAAATGAAGAGAAATGTCTAAATTAATGTACATGGTAAATAAACTACTTCATCTGTTGAAAATGAATTTGTGAATAAATTTAAAATACAAATCACTTGAAATAAAGATTATCATATTTGTTATCAATTCAAAGTCAATGGTATAATTTGTTTACAGCTGTACTGCAGGCCTAAATACTGATCAATGATGATTATGCATAAAAAGCTGAGAAGGGTTTGTTTTTTTGTTTTTTTTATAAGAGAACAATTCATTGGATGCAAATGAATCCTTGATCAAATTCAAGAGTGCACAAATTGAAAAAGGAAAATTTTCATAAGTTTTATTTAGAAACCACATAAAATTTAATCATCAAATCAGATATTTTATCATGATTTTAATGAAGCAGGTGGAATCATTGATTTTTTTTCTTTTTGAATTCATTTTAAATTTTTTCAGTAGAAACAATTGAGTTGCTGTTAGATCAGATCTTGTAATTCTCAACAGTGAAATATTGTTTGTAGCTGTTGTGTTGCTACAAATACAAACATTTATTGCATGCTGATATTTCTCAAATATGAGATTTGTGTCTTCTGCCTTTCTATTGGCTGCTGCTGCTGCTGCTGCTGGTCACTGAATCTGCAGTTGCATGTATGAGTCAAAGCAACAATGTTAGAAGTAAAGCTAGTACAACTATTCATGTTTGCCTTACTTCCATTGTTAGTAGCTTTGTTACAAACTTTACCTTCTCTCTCACTGTACAGTTTGTTGGCATGGATCAAATGCAGTTGTATCACATCCTCAATCTCTGAATTTTGGTACTGTGTATTCTGAGTGTGGAGTGAATTCTGACGTTGACTGATACTGGAGCGCAAGCTCATTGTATTACGTTGTCTCATCACATAACGATTAAATGCACGTTTAATATTGGCATGTACCTACAAATAGTTACAATAAAAATTTTTAACAAGGAACAAAAAAATAGTATCTGAAGTTCATGTCATAATTTATGAAGTACTTTCATGACATTTTAGGAATACTGTCTCAGAAATTAATGAACTTAATCACTGAGATTAAAAATACCAAAAAAAAAAAAAAAAACTATTAGTCCCCAAAGACGTGGAATGATAAAAAAATTTTTAATTTTAACATCGCTAAATAATTATGAAAACTGAACAAAACCCACCTAATAATGAATGAGTGTATGTTAACTACAACAACTTAATATCAGATATGATTGAATACATACAAATAGGTACATGAAATTACTTACCTCTTCATGGAGAAAACAAAATAGCAATGCCAGTATTAAGCCCTAGAAAAAATTTAGAAAATATTTTGTAGATAAAAATCTCCACAAATAGCCTTTTTAAAATAGAACATCAAGTTACAGATTCGGTTTTGTTAAAAACATTAAGCAAATTATAGTAAATTCTCATCCAAAAACATTGTAAATATGTGATCTGAATTTGATAATACTGGACAAATACATCTCTTCAAAACTTTCTAACCAATAAAAATTGGTTAATATGTACTTCAGTGTAGAGTAATGCTTAACTGGTCTGGTTGGCTATTTTTCTAAAATAGAAATTTTGATCTTAACTGGCTGCTCCATACTTGTGGTTTTCTGCCAAACTAAGATTTAGTAAATTACACCAAAAACTGCATAACATGTTTTCTTGTGATCAGTTCACTTAAAATAAGTTCATGCTAAGTCTAATTATGACACTATGTGACACTGGTAAATGGAAAGAAAAGGGTTAAAGAATGGAACAAGACAAAAAGGGTTAAAGGATGGAATGATAGACAACAAAGAACTCTTGTTGGAAAACAGGGCAAACACAGGGTCACCCAAACAAGTCAGCCTCATGCCAGTCTTGGGTAAGATTCAATATAAGCAGAACACTGAAGCAACCAGTCTAGTTCCACTGAAGCAACAGAGATGCAGATGAGACCAGACAGCAGGACGAACTGTGACTTGCTGCCAAAGAGATCTCCCAACTTAAGCCTTGTTCCAGACTTAGCTAAATTGAGCAAAGTGAGATAGAATTTATAGTGGGAAAGGTTAATATTTCTGTACAAAGAATGATATAAACTCTGAAGAAATTCCTGTCTTTTCTTTATTTCGTTTGCAAAGAACATTTTTTTATTTTTCTTTGTGACATAACTTCTCTGCGATTCAGATCAATGCTACAGTTGCTGATGACAACTCAGACTTTGCCGGCTCCATGATTAAAAACATAACATTGGACAGAGCTGGGTGCAGACTAGACCAGCCAACTTCAATGACCAGTGTAGGAATTGATGCAGAATTGACTGGTGAGAAGGGTCATAATTGGTTGCTGTAGAACAGGATTGACCTTTTATGTCATATTAGCACTGAAATAGAATTTTTACATGCATAATATAGAATTCACTCTTTGGAATGTTCCTTTTAAAGTATGAAGGATCAGAAAATATTCCTATTAACAGAGGAAATGATACTGAATTGCTATGTAATATCTAATTTCCTACACAAATGATATACTTCTAACAATGAATGTTGAAAATCTCATGAGTATGTAAGAAATGAAAACACACACAATGTATATATATATATATATATATATATATATATATATAAACACTGTATAATATAAATATGCATGCACACACATATATATAATATAAACACACACGCACACACACATATGTGTGTGTGTGTGTGTCATTTTTAATTTATTTAAACGTTATTTTTGATGGATACTCATATTTAAGTAGAAGCTTTTTTTAAAAAATTAAACAGTATTTTTTATCTCGCTACATCTATCAGCCTAAATTATAAATAACAATATTTTGGATTTAACTGTGCGCGCACACACACACACACACACACACACACTATGATAAATTGGTAATCTACATGGATTATCCATGGAGGATATAAATCCTGAGAGCTCAATGTAATAACACAGCAAATGATAATTAATAAAGAAATTAGAGACTTTGGAAAGCCATGGTAATATTTTATTTTGCAAAATTGAGAATTTGATTTTGTTTCATCAGACCAGACACTTTTAAACAATGAATGGATTCAAAATTCTTCCAGGAACCAAATGAAAAACGAAAATTAACAGAAATTGTGTTTTAAAATTGTCCCAAAAAGTGGGAAAGGAAAGGGAAGAAATAAGTAGGGGGATATGTCTCTAGAAGATAAGATAGTTGTAGTGACCTCTGATTCACTGGACAGGAAAAAGAAGTGGAGATGAGTTTTCAAAGGGGAACAAAGAAAAAAGAAAAAAAAAAAGAGAAAGAAAGAAAGGGAGAACTAGAGAGGAGAATCAGAATTGAGAATTTTAAGTGTTATGGTTGAAGATTTATTTATGAGTTGCCATATATATATATATGTGGGTAATTTAAAAAAATAGGTTATTAATAAAGTTAAAATAACAAATGAATTTTCAAAATGAAGTAATAATTCAAAGATGATCATTTAAAATGAACAAAAACTAAAATAAGGACAAAAACAAATGTTACTAAGATTCGTATACATACATATTCCATACATATTCCCACCCAAATCTAAATACATATACATCCACATACATATAAACTTATACACCCAAACACATTATATGCCAATCCTTTCACAGATTCCAACTCCTATTTACCAATGATCAAAACTCCACAATGATACCATATACCCACAAAATATTGCATCCACCCACCAATTCCTGCAGAACACCAAACAAAAGTATTTTACTATCACTCAATAGAGAACTTATACCTGCACACTCCAGTAGATGAAACAATCAATATTATTTACAACTGTTTCTACAAACATATTCATCCCCATATATCAAAACTAATATGCTAAAAAAAATTACTACATGCATAACCAAAGTCCCCTTTTATGACAACACGTGAAACATATCTACGCAAAGAGAGGCAGTATGGGTGACCTCCCTTGGACCATCCTTCTCCAATTTCTGTTTCATGTTGAAAATGAAGTTTTCGAAAACCAGAAAAAAAAATTAAAATTTATGTCTGCTTGGGGGGTGGGGGGTAGAGAGAGAGAGAGAGAGAGAGGACATTATTGCTGACCTCCACTCATCCAAGGCTTTTAGCAAATTGAACTAATAGAGCGTGTTACTATGTGGTGTCAGCACAGCATCCAAAATCTTGTAGGAAGCAGTCTTGTATCTTCTGATAGACATTTTTTAAGTATTCCTAAGGTATTTCTGCCATATTAGTCTTTCACAAGACACCCCCACTTTTTTTCAGAATGTTTACAATTACTTTAAGAGAAAGAAAAAAAAATGTCTACAATGATAAAATATCATATATCATATGTGTTATTGCATGTAGTGTCTTACACCTTGTGAAAGACTAATGCAGCAGGAACCTGTTAGGGATACCTAAAGAAAACATGGAGACCAGTAAGAGGATTTTAGCACACACGAGGGGCTGTCTCAAATCTAATTCATAAATCTCACATTTGTGCTAAATTTGGTAGAAAGGACCCTCCAGTTCCAACAGTCTTGATAAAAGAAGTGAAGACATTACATACAAGTAGCATTTTTACACCATTTATTATCATAGTCTAACTAAACTCTTTGAAAATGGCTAATAGATTAAAAAAAAGCATCTGGAAAATTTCTACATTCATTAAGTCCAGAAAAGAAAACATTTGTTCGCATACAAGGAAAATATAATAAAAAAACTTAACAAAAGGACATTGTCAGTCTTGTTTAACAAAACATGTATTAAAGAGGGATTGTTGTTCAAATGCACAACTATATATGGCTATGTGTATGTGGATATACATTGTATTTTACATACAGTGAATATAATTAGAATATTAGCAAATCTTTTTCATATAGCTTATTGAAATTAAACTGCATTTTTGATTTTGTCATAAGTTATTTTGGTCTTCTCAATATATATATATATATATATATATATATATATATATAAAAACATAATCTATTTAACAACCTTAGTTTTACTAAAATCCTTTCAGCCTTAATTGCTAAACTGCACTCTCCTTTCAATTACAAATTTTCTTTCTTGACTATATTTAAAAATAAACAATTTTCCAGTTCTTGTTGTTGTCATTTTGAAATGTTTTCTGTTATGCAACAAAATCAGAACAGCAGTTTTTCAAAAAGAAGTATTTACCTGAAAAGAGCTGTAAAGCATTGAAATATAAAGGTAAGGAACATCCACAGTTGTATTAAGATGTGGTGGAATCATCATAAACAGAACATTTGGAACCCCAAATAATGGAACAAGCATAGCTGTAAATTTTGCAAATTTCCTACAATTAGGAATAAAAACATGAAAATGAAAAGCTGTGGGTTTTTTTGGTTAATTTATATCACAATTCTATATTCATCTTTAGTTACTGCCTCTACAAAGTTTTCATTTATATTTTAATTGAGTCTGCATTTAAAAAAAAATGATATCTTGATGATTTAATCAATAAGAAAATTTAATGGCATGCAAATATAAGTTTTATTTTAACAATATGCTAGTCATAAATTTTATTTTGATTTATTCTAACAATGTGCCATTCATTCTTGTTATTCTTACTATAAAAATACTTACCCATCTGTATTGAAAGTTTTATATATTTTCTGTTGAATGATTCAATTTTCTGCTTATTTCAGTGTTGATCCACTTTGAAATACTTCCTATCACCATTTAATGTTTCTTTCATTTTTTTGTTTCTAGATTCATTTTTTTTATTTTTATAAAAGACTTGTAGCAGAACAAGATCTCAGGGAATAAAATAACATAAATGGAAAATTTGTGAAAATGTATGTCAACAGAAAACAATGTTTTCGAATAATCATCACAAAATTTCTAAGAAGTTGTGTCATTTGTGTCATATTAAATACATTTATTTTCCTTTCACGGATGTATCAAAAGTTACTGTAGTGTATAAGTTTTCCTTCCATTGTCCATTGTCAAATTTTCAGATCACTCTTACAAAAGACCAAAACTGAAATCAGACTGGTCATTAACAGTTAATATGACCAAACTGTAATTGTATCATCATTCAGGTCCTGCTATTCACTCTTCTTTTTAAAATTTCATCAAAAAGTTTTATTTATTTACTATTTGTGGTTTGATATAATCATTATACTTAAAAGATCTAGTAAGTGTATTAAAAAGGAGTTGTTACTGTGTCATCCAACCATCAATGTAAACAAATGGCTAATCTAAGCTGATGCTAGAATCATGGGAATTAAATTTTGGGACTTATACTATCAAAGACAGAAAAACTGCATTTTAGGTGTTATTTCTATTAATGAATCATAATATGAATTAATAATATTTGAAAAGAATGTTTCAAAAAATGGATCATGTAATGGATTTTTTGAACCCACTAATAATTTCATTTTATTTTTTAAGATATACCAAGAGGATGACTGAGGTGAGTTGATGTTCTTTTAAAAAACCTGAAAAGAGAAAAAATACTTTTCACTTTTATGAATGTAAACTTTATGAAGCAGTATAACAATAATAGCTATAAAATCAGAACAATGTCTACAGTCATCTACAATAAGGAATCTGTTGTTGCCTACAAAATTGTAGACAGCTAGATTTTTTTCCATTCTAACATGTTGGCACCATGGTTCTTCATTATTAAGAAATAATGCTTTTTAGTATCAGAGCATAACATTACTTTGCATCCATTAATGAAAATATCAGCCTTCAGATATTTTGAAACTACTATCCTTATTGTATTAATATTTCAAGCAATTCTGTTTACTTGGCAAACATACTGTGATTGGAAGCTGCAAAGTTGCCCAGAGAAATGGACTCAACTCAATAAAATTCAATTCAGTAAAATCAATTGATACTACACAGACATGCAAAAAAATGGACTAAATTGATCCTTAATAGGCTTTACAAAATATGCTTAGCTAAAATAGAGGACTAGGAAATAGAATAGTGTAACATAGAGCCTTGATAAGAAAAAGAGGCTGGCATCAATAACTGATTTGACAGAGGTGTGTCTATCTCTAGCTAAAAGTTATGTGTAAGTCATTTTTTGTAATAAACTTGGTATTAACCAATTCATGTTAAAATTATCAGGCTGTATGATGAAGAATATATCATACAAATTTAAAGTCTAGCAATGTGCAGTGTGATCTGATGAGTCACAGTTCCAGTTGTCTTAGGTGCATGTCCCTATGGGGGCATAATCCCAGTAAACATAGCATTGTGCAGGCTGGCAGTGCTTCTATAATGATGTGAGATGTTTTCACATGGCATGGGTTCTCTCACTTCAGGGATTTTGTTGGCGATCAACAGAAGCATTATTGAGGATGTGTGCTAGCTGTGGCCAGTAGATCAATCTAGCAGAATTGGATGCTATCCTGAAAGGGATCAATTTGGTACTATAGTGGGGCACAACAGTGTCTCTGTTGAAATGTTGGTCGAAGATTACAAATTATCACTAACTGTGACATTAGTGATATCAAATCAGAATTGGGCAGCCAAGTTCATGAAGATACTGCAACTATGTTATGATGCAATAAAGAAACATGTTGAACAGCCCAACCTATATGCTCTTCAATGATGAACAAAATTTCTCTGGATCAGATAAAAAGCAAACATTGCCAAGGTGGGCATCCTGGGTTCAGACAAATGATGTACTTTGTAAGACAAATTCATCTTCAAAACTGGTCATCAGTATAGTGGTCAAGGAATGTAAAGAATGCCAGTCAATTGACCCAGCCCCAACACTTTAGCCACAAAGCAACTTATGTGTGAATGAAGGAAGTACTGACCCACTGAGAAATGGATGTTACCCATTACAGTAGACAATACTACCTTATATTAATCAACTGTGGCCCAACTCAAATTGTGATATGGCTAACTCTGTATCATCAACATTTGAGAAACATCATCAAACAGTCAGAGAACATTTTTTATGAATGAGGTGCACTGACAGAAAGCCTAACTGACAATGACATTGTATTTCACAGCAAGTTGTTGAAAGATTTATTGGATGGCTGGGAGGTTCAACTTCGTTTTCAGTGTGTACATTTTCCTGCAGTCAGTGGCATAATTGAAAGATGCCATCAGAACATTTTATTGCTGCAACAAAACAATGTCTTGATATGGAGGCAATATATTGGCACAATGTTATGCAGAAGGATAACACATTAGTGCACCCACCAATAAGATTCACAACTATCAAGTCAGAGTGATGGGAAACAATGCAACACTACCACCTGATTGTGAGAAGTATCACATCAAGTACAGAGTGGGAAACCTAGTGTGGTTGAAAGGTCTACGCAGCTGGTGTAACTCCAGATGACAAGTGGGTTGTGGGACAAACATTGTTAGTCTACAAACAATGATGAACAATGGAATGCCATGGCACATTAACGTATGACTCTGAGTCATTGTCTCTTAGTGGAAAAGTAATTGAGTGCAGTGAATCTGATGATTCCACAGATGCAGATATCCCAGAGACTGATGATTCCTCAGGATACAACATCTACACAAGTAGCAGAGATTGTCACATTTGTGACTGAGATCAGGGTGCAGTGTGGTGAAGAAAATGGTGACTTACCTCATCAAAACAAGTGACAGCATGTGATAGTGATTGTCACATTTGTGACTGCGAGATCAGGGTGCAGTGTGGTGAAGAAAATGGTGACTTACCTCATAAAAACAAATGACAGCATGTGGCAGTGATTGTCACATTTGTGATTGCAAGGTCAGAGTGCAGCATGGTAATGAAAATGGTGACTTACCTCATCCAAACAAGTGACAGCATGTCATGTATGTTATTGGACAATGAAAAAGGAGGCTTTGCATGATTTCTTTCACATCATCCAATCCCTGATTTTCCAACTTTCACATAAGCCAAGCACCCTGTGCGATGAGAGTTAGTTTTCTTGTTCATTGTGGTGTATGAAGGACAGCTTTGTGATTTACATCCTACTAATTTGTTTCATTCTATCTGCAGATTTTTGTTTTTATTTTTGCCAATTCAACAATTCTTCAACTACAATATTTATTGGATATAGTGTAGAGGTCTGTTTGCATGCAAGATCCTGCACTTACAAATATCAGGAAGTTGTGGACAGCTATTGAGATGACCTGGCTCAACAGAATTCTTCTGACCACTTGTGGAATATTGAGTTGCTACACATTATTGAATTAAGTGGAGGGTCCTACATGATACTATACACCTGTCCCATTATTTTGGGCATGTCAGTGTATTTGATTAAAATAATATGCCAAATACCTAAATAAATTATTATTTTAGATATTAATATAGGCCCCTTAACATTGTATATACTTCCTCAGTCTTTTGTCCTTGATTTTAACTGTTTTTACTTTAATGTTACATGTAACAGTTTTTGTTGCTTCCCATAGATTTTATCTGCTTGAATAATTTTCAGTTCTTAGCTAAAACATTGTGAGTATAATGACCAAGATGAACATGAAAGTCCAAATAAGTGAATATGCAATAATTATAATTCCTTAATTAATTAGATGTTATTTTATGAAAGTAATAATCATTGTTTGATGGAATTATTTTAAAAGTCTGTTTATAGTAAAATTTGAAAGATTAAAAATGTCTATGCTGCGAATCTTATGTTTGAAAACTCCTATGGGCAAATAATTTGAAGAACAAATATATAATTATCAATTAAATTTGGAGTCATTTTAAAACTCAGAAAGTAAGTTATACAAGCATAAAACTAATCATACAAATGTAACAAAATATTTTTTAAAAAGTCAAAATTTTAAATTGGTTATAAGAAATTTATCATTTCTTGGGTTTTTGTCAGATGTCACAATCTTTACTAGATTCTTGTTATCCTTCTGAAATTGATGGCATTATGATTCAGTAGATGCCAGTCAAATTAGGTAGCATGCAGGATCATCAATCATTTTATTAAGGATAGGGACTGTATGAAAATAGAAGAGATCCAAAGAAACATGACAAGAAACGATTCTTCAAAACAGTTGACAATATGCAGATAGCTATTAGACATGTAAGAAGTATAGAGACTATGTAAGCATCAAATATTGTAATGCACCCACACAATTTCAGTTTGGTCATACAATGGTTCCTCATTTTCTATGGTTTTGCTTTTCTGCAGTTTAAGTTACAAATAATTTGTAAGTTTTATTTAGTAATAGCTCCAAATTGTAAGAGTTGTAATTTTGATATATCAAAAATAATTTTTTTTTAATGATTCTTTTAAGCAAAAGGTTTCAACTTAAAAAGGAAACAATGCTAAGTAGCATACACTTTATTCTATTCAATATGAATGAATTTTCTAACCCTCACATAACTCTTATTTATACTATATTGTTATGATTGTTCTATTTTATTATTAGTTATTGATAACTTCTTATTGAACTTAATATACTTTTATCCAATGTTATTATAGGTAAAAACCATATAGGCTTTGGTACTATCAGTGGGTTCAGACATCAGCTAGGGTTTTTGGAACATCAATAAGTGATGGGGAATACTGTACATAAGAAATGAACTTGAAAGTAAAAACTTTTCAATGTCCTTCTAGTGTTAGATGTTTTGTGTCTGTATTATTTTTCTCTATTTAAACTTAAGAGTAAGGAACAAACTTCATTTCAGTTTGTTGTGTCTGATATTATTCACTATAATCTGTTTGTTTCTTTTTTACAGATCTTAATAACCATAAAAATTGCTGTTTTCTTCTTTTAGTTTTACTTCCTAATTAGCATAGTGAAGGCATAGACAATATAAATGCTCAAGCTGTAAGAGTAGGGCAGCTAGTTATGCAAGATAAACGACTACTGCTTGAGTTATAAAATATGAAGGAAATCACACCTCATAAAACTTCCACCAGGTTTGTCAAATTTTAAATTTGTTTTCTTTTTTAGAAACTACCAAGAAACATTGTTTATTTCAGGTTCAGTTTGAAAACAAAACTGCAAAACATAGAGCAGTAATTTTGTTAAGAAAGGTTTTATTATTGTTATTATTGTTATTATTGTTATTATTAGTTACTTTGTTTAAATAAATTAATTTCGTTTTTTGCTTTGAGAAAGTCCACATTGGACGAAACGTGTCAGCAACTACTACAGTCTTCCTATTGTCAATTATATTTAAAAATATTGTCTTTTCTACAGGTTAACTCTGAGAAATTTTCATATATATATATATATATATATATATATATATATATAAATAAAGCATGATGTTTGCTACGTAGACAATATTTTTATTTTACCAAAAACAAACAAGGAAGAGATAATCTCAAAAACATCTTTAAAAAAAAATCTGTCCTTAATTTTAGCTACAAACTGAATCAAAAGAATAAACTCTCATCATTCTTAGATGTTCTTGTAGAATACAATAATAACACTTTCACAACTTCATTATATAAAATCCTATTATCAGAAACTCTTGCTACCTTAATTTTAATAGTGAATGCCCACTTAGATATTAAATAGTGGTTATAAAAATTTCTAAAGAGAACCCATGAGAATTCATCCTCTCGTTTACTTTTCCTTAAAGAAGTCTACAATGCAAAACAGACACTAGTTAACAAGGGTTTTCCTAACTACCTCATTGACCACCAGATTAGACTATTTCTTCACAAAGTAACTAATAATGATACAGAACACACAGACAAAAACAATGACATTAACATCTACAAAAACCAAATGCACATCAACTATGAGCAAGATAAATCTTCACTTAGAAACATCATAAAGAAATACACTACCCCACTTGACCTGAACAAGAAAATTAAATTATCTATTATAACAAATTTAAAAATCTAGCTTTATAAAAAAAATAACAACACATATGTAAAATCAAAATTTTTAAGAACCAATATTTTTACAAGTTCAAATGCCCTTTAAGGAACTGTGTCCCTGTTCAAACCAAAATAATTACATTGGTCATACTACTACATGCCTATCTAGATGACTTATGTTATGCCTATCTGACCACAGCTCCATTAGAACTCATTTAAACACCACAAAAGCTTACCAGACTCCATCTGAATCATACTAGTAGGTAATACAAGCATAATATCCTCATCCACATGTAAAAAAAGATGAAAAATAATGGAAGCCCTAATAATAAAAAAGAAAGCCAACACTTAATAACATTGACTATGAACATGGCCACAATGTACTGACCGTGTTTGGAAAATAAAACATCCCTATAACTCTAGATACATACATAATACAACCATTTAGTTGAAAGTAAAAAAATTCATCCTTGAAAATGGCTAAAAGTATAGCTGAAAGTGCTTGTAAATGAAGAACTTTTGGACAGTTTTACATACTTTGTGTCCAGAAAAGAAAACACTTATATAAACACAAGAAAAATTATATATATATATATATATATATATATATATATATATATATATATATTTCATTATATTATATTATATATTATATATTTCAAAGACGACTAAGATAAACATTCAAAATCAACAAGTATTTATTTATAAAAATTAACTTACCTTTACCTGTATGTTCGACGGTTTCCACGGGCCTGAGTACGCTGAAGCAACACCCGAAGATTATCCAAGAAGAATAAGAAATTAATCTAAAATATCAATAGATATAAAAAAATAGAAAATCCATTTTTACACTGAGAAAGTATCATTTCAAATTTATGCCCAATATTTAAGTATTTCTGATTTAATTTTTTTCTTTCTACTCAAAACTGATTGCAGAGTCCTGATAATTATAATTATAGATAGAGTTTTAGAATTTTAAAATTACAGAGTGTTACAAGAAATAAACAAAACAAACAATAGCTTCTTTTCTTTATATAACTGAAGAAACAACATATGATATTAAAAATGTGGGTCATCTCTTCATAGAAAATGTATTTGGTTGAAGTTGATTTTTATAATTAACTTGTTTATAAATGTATTTTATTGTTGTAAAATATAAGTTAATTTCTATATAATCGAGTTATATTTTTCATTAATAAAATGGCCTTTCTTTTGATCTGAAGGTTTTAAAACATATCATGGAACATTTTTTCTTATATGTATTTTTTATTATAAGACATTAAGTAGATTATATTTTATAGCAATGTAAAACAAATAATGCTAATTTGGAGTATTCAAATCAATTACTAGCAAAAATAAATCTTTAGATATTGGAAATAATCATTAACTAATAATAATAATAACCTTATATAATGGACATTTTAATTTGGTATACATAAACAAGGAAATAATTTTTTATGCTATAAGGAAACTTTTGAGTCACAGAAAAATTGACAAATTTGCAGAAGAATCATAAAAATGAAATCAAAATATTCATCAATTGGTAAACTTTTTTATTTTTAGAATAAAAAAACTATCAAGAATTATTTAAAATATTCTACATTTAACAATATCTAAAAACCTAGTTTAAAAAATATTTTATAATCATTAGGATTCAACAAATTAGCAAATACAATGATAAAGGCGTTACAAACATTTTTCTTTTAAATTTCTTGGTATTTTTGTTTTATATTTAATAGTCTTTAGAGTTTATGAGGATGAATAGTTAGAAATCATCAATTTGTTATCTTGTAGGGTCAGTCTACTGCGATTAAAAATAAAAAAGTAAAATCCAAGTGTTGTGCCCACAAATACAATGTAACGCGAAAAAATGATTTTTTTTACATAGGCAAAAGGAAAACCAGATTGAAATAATCATATATTTATGTACATACTAACATTTGTTTTTTACATGGTAAACATTGTGTTTGTTCTGGTTGTAAAAAAACAAAATTCAAATATTTGACAAAATTTTCAATTTGTTAAAAAGTAGTTTATAAAGTCATATGCCTTGGTCTGTGTGTATATATGTGTGGGTGTCTGAAGTACATTTTAACAGGGTGTATGCGTAGATGCCTACTGAATGCAAGTGTGTGTGTGTGAAGCATATTAGTAGAAATGTTGTGTTTGTGAGTGCTAATATGTGAAATCTGATTACGGTGGTTCCAAAAGGAAATGGACATACAAATAGATGATCAAACTTACTTTTTCCATGGCTATAAATATTTCTCTGAGTTGTGTGAATATTCCTTTGAATGGTGTGTAGTTGTCGCTGACTGAGGTGTTGTCTTGGTAATGAGAGAATCCTGGTCAGGTGTTTACAGATGCAACCGCCTGTCATCAACAGGTGATCTACGTCCAGCTGCTTGACTGATTCTTTGCTATGCGTGTTTTTATTGCCCCCAAAATCAGTGTTATATAGTTAACATGATCATGTGATTGGCTCCAAACAAAAGCTTTTCAGTTTATGTGGGATAGCACCCAGTGACCAGTTCATTTGGGGTTTAAACATACAGACATAGTCGGAAGCATAGAATGACTGTACTGTTCAATCAAATTTCAGAAACCACTTATTTAATTTTGGATTCTATTTTTTTTACTGATATGTACAAAAGTTTTTGTTTTAGTGATTCTGATCCTATTTATGTCTAGGTTCTTCTTATTTGTGTTTCACCTATTGGTTTTAAAATATAGGATTTTATATCCTATAAGATATAAAATCCTATATTATATAACTGACTATTGAAAGATTTGTTTAATTATTGATCCATTCACTCAATCTTGAGACATTGATTTCTGCTGTATTATTAAGTTGTTCCATTTTTTTCTAGCTGCCTCTCTTTTCCTGTTTTCATGCATGTACTTCCTTAGAAATGATATCTAAAGGATTATCCATATTTTGTACCTGGCTTATGAATAAAGATCTCTAATTCCCTTGCACATGCTGTTCTACTTGTTTGTATTTCATCTGATGTCAGAACCCGATGTTTAACATAACAGTTTCTATGTTCTAATATTTTTTTTCTTATAATGATAATTTATTTGTAAACATTTGCATTCATTACTGAAACATGTACAGTAGTTTGCCATTCTAATTTGCCAACAATAAAGAACATTATAAAACTATTTTGGATGTAGAAAAAGAAATACTTACCAATATAGTTGCTGTTATTGGGCCACGTGTTATCCATACATATTTCAACTTTCTGTTGATGCTCCAGCATCTGAAAAAAAAAAAGAAAAATTCTTTGATATCACTTTAAACTTAGATTATTTTCTATCAATCATTGGCTAACCTTTTAACTATTAGATTTCTTTAAACTATCAGCCATGAAGCAGTCTCTTTTCTTTGAATTTTCATCTGAAAAAATACAACACCATAATCTGAGTTTTAATCATTTTTTATTACCAAACAGAAAAGTGCACCACTCAACTGAACAATCTATTCTTCCCTCAACCAAGTACAGCGTGCAACACTAGAACTGCAGTGCTGGTTTTCTTCCTCTAAAAATCTAAGTTCACTAAAATGTCCATTTAATTTGCTCTCAAAATGTCTGCTTTGGCCTTGAGAGTTTTGTTCAGGACTGCACAATTGTTAAAAATAAAGTTGATTTAAAAACTGATGTTAAAATAATTATGCAATTTATTTGGACCCTGCAAAATAGTAAAAAATCAATATATAGCAGCATGATGATAAAAATGCCCAAAATTCTTTACTCCAGTTTATTGTTATTTGTCAAATGTTTTGTCACTAGTATGACTGAACAGAATATTCTATTCTTAATATACAAATTATTTATATTGATTTCAGATATTTAATTTCAAGCAGGAAACATTAGATTTACATGTGAATTTTTAGGCTATTTGGCACTGAAAATATGTTAATTATAAAAATCTCTTAAGTTTCAGATAGTTTAGTTTTTAGAAGTTATTTTGTAATTAATTAATGGAATATTTTTAAGTGCTTATTCTATATTTACTATATAATTTTATAAACTTTCAAAACATTTCCCAGATTGACAATATATATTTTCTGAGTCCTGTGTCAAAAACATTTTTCTTATTGTTTTTATTGTTTTGACATGAAGATCTTATTTGGGCTTTTAGTATTTGAATGAAATGATTGTTATTATTATTTTGCCAATTACATGAAAGATATTTTTGTATTCTTTATTTTATAAAAACAAGCCTATTTTCTAAAATTGTTATGTATCAATCAGTAGGGTTTTAGATAGAACTCCAACAAGCTGTGTGAGTTAGTGCCCTTGACACAGTTAGGGACAACTGAGTTGAATTAGTTCTCTTGGCAGTTAGAGATTTTAGTCCAGTCTTGAGAAGAGGTTGGAGTAAGATGTGCTGCAACCAATATCCAAATTCACAACGATGGAGAATATATTCCTAGATAGTAGTTGACAACCTCACCTTAACTTAAAGGTAGTAAGTTTTTAGAGTGCAAACATCACTTATTGTAAGTACCATGTTTATTGTTGTTTTGCATTGTTACAGTTAATAAATATGGTAAACGTATTTTAGCACCTCTCTTTTCATTTCCCTTTAGTACCTCATATTTATATGTTTGGAGGCTCCTTGAGATAGGGAGCTGTTATAAAATAACAACCCAACAATTGGTGACCCCAACATAATTTCAACTCCATCAAGGGGAGATAATCGCCTTTTATATCCCTACAAATCCATGCATTTATTATAAAATTAACATCTGGATTTGAATTTCTGGTGAGTGTTACAAATTAAATTGTTTAGATATATAACTTCTTTGTTTTACTCACAATGTGTTGTCATAATACACACGGACTAGCACCCAAGGAACCAGGAATGTTAGCGGGAAACCTAAAATCAGAAAGTAAATCATTTATAGGAAGCATGTTAAGATATGCATCATTACCCTTTTAATCTTCTTTTCCTGTAGATAGAAGTGATTGCTTAATGGAGTCTGAAATGTTTAATGCCTAAAATTGTTAGCTGGTCATGGCTGTTTTGATATCACAAATAAAAAAAATGAATTTCTGGTTCCCCTCCTCTGAAAATATCTTAAGTTTTAGTCTTACATAAAAATTATTCTAATTTCAGCATAAATAATAATCAACATTATTCATTTGGTTGATTTAAATAAAAATAAGCTATCATTTCTGATGATTTAATTTGTTTTAATATAAATATATAAGTAAAATTATTATAAAATTTTTTTATTTGAAATTATAGACATGGATTATTTTCCCCATAAACACAATTAATTGAACAAAATTACACTTAGCTTTTGAAATATGCTTTGATATAACCAAAGAAAAAGCAACTTAAATTCCAACTGTAATTATAAGAATCTATAGGATATAAAATCCTATATTTTACAACCTATAAATGAAACACAAATAAGTAAGAAACATCCACAAATAAATAGGATCAGAATCACTAAAACAAAAACATTTGTATATATCAGTAAAAAAAAATAGGATCCAAAATTTGATTGGACAGTACAGTCACGTGCAATGCTTCCGACTATATCTGTATGTTTTAACTCCAAATGAACTGGTCGCTGGGTGCTGTCCCACATAAACTGAAAAGCTTTTGTTTGGAGCCACTCATATGATCAGGATAACTATATATATTCACCAATTTTGGGGACAATAAAAACACATGGTAAAAAACCAGTCAGCAGATTGGTTGGTTGGATGGATCTGTAAACACCCAACCAAAATTCTCTTGTTACTATGACAACACCTCAGTCAGTGATGACTACACACCATTCAAAAGAATGTTCACACAACTCAAAGAAATATTCATAGCCATGGAAAAAAGTAAGCCTAATCATCTCTGTGTCCATTTCCTTTTGGAACCACTGTAATAAGATTTTATGTATTAGCACTCACACACACAATGTTTCTACTAATGTGCTTGACCCACACACACACATTCAGTCAGCAGCCATGCATACACTCTGTTAAAATGTACTTCAGACACCTGCACATATATACACACCATATATTAACCAAGGCATATGATTTTACAAACTACCCTTTAACAAATGGAAAATTTTGTCGAGCATTTGAACTTAAGAAATTTGATTACGATCAGAACAAGCTTTCAATGTTTACCATGTAAAAATAAATGTTAATATGTATATAAATATATGATTATTTCAATCTGGTTTTCCTTTTTGCCTATGTAAAAAATTCATTTCTTTGAGTTATGTTGTATTTGAGGGTATGACAATTGGATTTTAATTTTTCACTTTTAATCTGGGTAGACTGACTCTACAAATATCTGGTTATTAAAAAAAGAAGTACAAAATTAGAAACACAATTCTTTTACTTCTTTTGTTTGTTCAGGTTTAGAATTTGTGGCTCTATTTTATTCTCATTATGAAGCACTGTCCCTGAATTTTGAAAATTACAAAAAAATAAAGTAAATTTTTTAAATGATGATTACCTTTTATAAATTTATACTTGAAAAGTGAAAAATTCCAATTAAAATTAATACAAGATCAATATTAAAAATAAAATGCTGATAAGAATGAATGGCTTAAGTACTTTCTATGAGTAAACTTATTAATGCTTAAGACATTCTTAATAATCCTCCTAACAAAGGTTGAAATGGATTAATAATTCAAATATCAAGACAAGGCTGACAAGGGCTGAAATGGATTAAAATAGTGCTGACTATATATCTATGTAGTTAAACAGAAGTTTGATGTCAGATTGCAATAAATAACATGAGTTTTCTGAACCTGTCTTATGTTTAATGGGTGAAAGCAAAATTGTTTTGTTTTGTAATCTAGAGAATAAAAAGAACAAATGGGATATGATCTCCAGGTTAAGATTCTGAGTTTGTAAATATTCCTTGAGTGATGTTTCCAGCTATCCAGCTTCTTTGTCATCAATCCAAATTGTAGAATTCTTAACTGTCTTTCAGGTAAGAAAATAACTTTTCTTTTAATGATTGCTTCTGTAAAAAGTATACAATGTGTTCAGATAGAGTAATATGCCAAAAAGTAAAGCCACCCTTTCTAAGTTTTCATTAGTGTTAGGAAAGAACAATCACCTTGAAACCTAGCAAAAAGCTAGAAACAGGGTCAAAAATTTAATGCAATCACACATTTTTAAGAAAAGAGATAGCATTGTTTTTGGAAAGAGTGATAAAGTCCTTATCATGAATAAATTATAATGAAAAACAGAAATTATACTTACACCAGCCAAAAGTGATATAGTATTTGACACTTCTCTGTTGTGTGAAAAGAGTTCGATAAATTAACATTTGCAGATAGAGTCCCTCAACAAATACCCATACTTGACTCACACTCAGTCCATACATAAAAAATGTGAAGAGGAGGCGACATTCCCAATGCTAAAATGAAGAATTATTTAATAAATAGAAAAGATAAAATAGTAGCTGTTAGAAGTGCTTTCTTTTAAGGAGAAATTTATCATAGCCTTTTGCCCACTCCCTTCAATTTAAGTTCATTTAGTTTTATAATAAGCCTAATGACTTTGTAGTCTTTCAGTGTTACGAACCTAGTCAGAATACAATTTGTAAACATTTTTATACTTTTTATATTTTGTAGCACATCTCATTTTATTTTTCTTGAGATTTTTAGTACTTTGCAGGACCAGTTAAGGTTTACACTCTCTTTCCATATAACATGGTGATTTCTCGCCAAATCCTGGCAGAGAAGGAGGAGAAATGCAAGCCCCTGGCCATTGTGGCCAGGGTGCTTGGACAGGCTATATTAAGTTACATTCCCATTTATTAATTATTGTCTGCCAACTGGATGCTAGTTGGTCTTATCTATCTTACTTCTGGCACTCTTTGCCGTTATTACTTCTGACACACTCTTGCCCACTCTTACTTCTGGCTACCATAGACTTTTATCTTCCGATATCTTACTTCCATCATTTGCTAGCTTTTGCTACTTCTGGCTACTATGGAACCTTATCATTCCTGGCTTTCATTACTTCTGGCCCTTATATGAACCTAACTAAACCTGGTTGATTTGTATTAATGTACCTGCTTATAACATCACTGAACTTCTGGCTACTCATTGGTCCCTCATTCCAGCATCACTAACTCAACCTAACTCACTTGGTTAATGAACCTGCTCAGAACAGCCTTGAACTTCCAGCTACTCATCAGTCTGTACTTCCAACATCCTTATCTCAACCTAACTCAGTTTGTTTATCTGAGTTAATGGACCTGCTCATAACATCCTTGAACTTCTGGCTACTCATTGGTCCCTACATCCGACATCACTATCTTGACCTAACTCACTTGGTTGATTGGTGTTAATGGACCTGCTTACAACTGCCCTGAACTTGTGGGCTACACTTCTGGCATGTCTGTCAACCAAACTCACCTATATTCTAAATAAATTTTGTATTAATTTTAAATATCTGAGTTCTGTTGTCCATTTTTGTTCCACCTGTCAGATTTCATGTCTTTAATTATAAATGTTAGTGGGCCTCTTGTGACATCTATGTCTTAATGGGGTGCTAAGGCTGTATTATATAACACCCCCCATCCAGGGGGTCCACTACACATTAAATTTAAGAACATGGAAATTTTTGAGAAATTTCATGCCATATATATATTTTAATTTGTTGATTTCAAATTTAAGTATAACTATCTAAATTTGACAGTCTTCCATCTTTAATACTTACTATCAATACACATTTATCAACACTAACCTAAAAAAAGAACAGCATTAGACACAATGCAGAAAATATATACAAAATGGCCTTTATAAAAAATTATCAGTCTTCACTATTAGAATTCATTTTTATATTAAGGACAGTTTCTTAATTTTATACAGAAATATTAAATCTGGAGTGTTGCTGTTACAAAAATGTTAATAAATTTGGTAAAAAATTTTTATAAGATTTTTGTTAACTGATTTGTTGTAAAGAAGGTTTTTGTGAAAATAATTATTCAAATAAGTTATTATTTTCATATTTTATTATTATTTTTCTATTTTCTTATCTGGCAAAAAATATTAGTTTTGTAGTTTAATTTTGGACAATTGGGGTGGTTGGATAAAATTTGTTCTCTGTTAATATGTGTTAGCTATATTGATTGTCAAGTTCATTAATGCAAGAATAGTTTGACTCAGCATTTAACAATAAAAGAAGCAAAACAAATATGTAAAAATTAGAGATAATTTTAACTATAGTACTTACTGGACCATCTTTAAATTTAAGTTCACCTCCATCCTGTTCCATATCAATGGACATAGCATAGCCATAAGTGAAAAGATTTTGTCGTAAAAGGGAAAATAAAGCACGGAAACAGAAAGCCAAAAAGAGGTTGATATGCAGAATATTACTTTTGTAGTAAAACCGTCTAAAAAATTTAAAAAAATATGTATTATGAGCAGAAATAGTCAGAAAGAGAAAATGGAAAGAATGAGTAAACATAGAAAAAAGAGGAAAAAGGAAATGGGAGAAAAGAGGAAATGGGAGAAAAGAGGAAATGAGAGAAAAGAGGAAATGGAAAAAAAAGGGTAAATAGAAGCCAAATGGGAGTGGGAACAAAGAGGAATAGGAACAAAGTGGAAATGGGAGAAAAGAGAAAATGGGAGAAAAGAGAAAATGGGAGAAAAGAGGAAATGGGAGAAATGAAGAAATGGGAGAAATGAAGAAATGGGAACAAGAAGAAATTAAAGGAAAGAGAAAATTTGCAATGGGAGCAGAGGAAAGTAGTATTACAAAGCAACTTTTGATAATAAATAGAAAAGTGAATCTTGAATGATGAAAAATAAGAACTGACATAAGATATGACAAAAGTTACAAAAATGAATTTTGTCTGTTCTGAGACCTAATACCATTTGTTGTTGTTCTTTAGCAAAAAGAGGCAAAAATTAAATAAAAATCTCAATTGGGAAATAATGTATGCTTGAATGACAAAATAAATTTGTATAAGAAAAAACTATCAATGAAGAAAATAATTTTTTCTACATTTTTTATATCGATGCTCTATGTAAATCTCAAAGATTTATTCAATAATTTCAAAGATATTAAATTATATTGTTACTTTTTTCATCATAACAAATACTTGAATGAAGTAAGATGAAGAATACACAAATGTAAATTATAGAATTATTCTTTTAATTTGCTCTCAATTAATATGAAGTGTAAAACTTTTTCCCTAAAACACTTAACTGAGAAAATAGGAAGTTTTACATTAAACTGTTTAAAATTTTAAATAGAAATTGGGGTATTTAATCTAGAAATATTTTTGAATATGTAACTCATTATATAATTTTTACAAATTAATTTTAGATTCTTACCTAATAGTTAGGTAAGAATTCTCTAATAGTTTGCAACAATGTTATATTTGTAAGTTTTGAGCAATAAATTTGGGTTGTTGCTACAAAAAATATGAATAATTTTTGTAAAAGATTTTGGTTAACATACCTGCAAGATACCATAATAACAATGGCTGCACTAAGGGATAATAAAGAGGCTGCATACCCAAAATTGGCAATGCTGAGAATGTTGTTTATATGATCATATAACTGAAAGTAAGAAAGAGTTTGAATTACACATTTGTCAAAGCATTAAACTGGTATTAAAATATGGATTAATTGCATGAGAATTAATAAAAGTTTTACTATGAATATATTAAATGCAGTTATTGTATAAAATCATGTTGGCATTAAGACAAATACTAAAACATTCCCTTCAAAACTGACTCATTAAATACTGAGAATGGCAAAAAATTAGAGGAAGAGAAGAAAGAGTGAGGTAATTATTCTTTGAAAATGCTTTTTCTAAGTGCACAAATATTTTTCTTCTCTGACCATTAATAATACCAGAGAAATTATATAAAGGTTGATAGCTATAAAACACAGATCGATCAATTGATCAAGAGAAATTATAATTTTAGATTAAACATTGTTCATTTTTACTACAAAAACTATTCCTGTATAATAGAAAATTAATAGAACAACACTTTCCCCATGAGGAACAAAATAAGATTATATTAAAATTTTCCTCTGTGTCATACACACTAAATGTGAGGGTTGTACATAAAAGTGAATAAATAAACAAACTTACTCTTTAATGGCTCATTTATTCATATATATATATATATATATATATACAGGGTGTGATGGATAAATTATGCAAAAATGAAAATAACATCGACATCTCATTTTAACAGATATGTTTAACAAAATTATGCAAAAACATCTTAAAATATTAAAGAGTAAATTTATTTAATAAAATCACTATTGGTTTCAACTATGGCCTCCAGATGACTTCAGAATCTCCTGCATCTCTCCTGGATGGTCACCCTTTTTAAGTTGGTGAATACTGTCATAATCCTTGCTTTCAGTTCATCTTTGGTGTTACAAGGAGTTTTGTTGGTCTCTCGCTCAACAGCACCCCACAGATAATAATCAATAGGGTTCAGTCTGTGGAGTTAGGTGGCTAGATGCAAGAGATGATGTGGTTACAGGAATTGTCTAACAACCATGACTGGGTTTTCCTGCTTGTGTGGTATGGTGCAGAGTCCTGTTGCCAGACATAGGGCCTTCCAGTAGCCACCCTATTGACTAGGGCAGCGCTACCTCCTCAAAGAACTTGATGTAGGCCTTTGTGTTGAGGCTGAGATCCTCACCAACAAATTCGGGATTTTTTTTCTTATCAGAACGATCAGAGTGAGTTTTCCAAACTGCCGTACCTTCCTAATCACCATTAGTCATCAGACTTATACAAATTCTCTGCACTGTTGTCTGAAATGTTAATATTGGAGCTTCTGGTAAGAATGCCAAGGAGAACAGCATGCAATTTCCAAATTTCTTGCAGAGTGAACTGTGTCATTGTATTCTTTTTCTCATAGATTGTGCCCAACTGAGCCTACTATACTGTGCAGTCAACAAAATCAAAAACAAATAAAGCACATACATGAAATTAAAATATAAAATGGTGACTATTTACCCACCACACACACACTATATATATATATACATATATATATATATATATATATATATATATATATATAGATAGATAGATAGATAGATAGATAGATAGATAGATAGATGAGGCATTAATTAGAAAAAATTTAGAAAATTAACAGAAATCAGATTATCTCTGATGTTCATTATAATAGCTCAATAATAATGATTATCAAAGAAATCCAAAACAATGATGAATTAAATCAATTACTTTCACAAATATGAAATCCAAGTAAAAATTATTTATTAAACTCAACCTTGTGTCACATTCTGCCCTAGTGGGTGGGACCATGGGTAAATACATAATAAAGACTGGTTATTAGGAGGTGCAACATGTTAGTAGGGATTTTGTAGTTTAGGTTATATCTTTAGTTTGGTGACTTGTTTTATACAATCAACTTAACAGAAAAAAACAGTTACTCAATTTCTATATCATAATTCAGTTGATTTATCTTTAAAAAGAGATACTAGAAAAAAGTCAAATCAATTCCCAAAAATAATCTTAACTTTTCAGAAAGTATATTAACTTATGTTTTATATAATGACTCTGTAAAAAGTAAAATAAATAAAAAAATTTTTATTGAAAAGCATAGAAAATAATTTTATTAAAAGACTCTTAAACCATGAGATCCTCAACAGATTAATACATACCGATTCTTGAGGAATCATACATTGACTGTAATCTGTCCAAGTTTTATTTGTCCTTGAACTTTGATACCATTCACCAGTTGCTGTACATGTTCGAAATGCATAATCTAATTTGAATAAAAAATATTTAAAAATTATTTTTACTTTTTCTTCTTGTTACTGCTCTAGTGATGAAATTATCATGAATAAAAAGAAATATATGTTTAAAGTTTTAATAATAAGTTTTATTTCAATGTTAGTAGAGAGAATATATGTACATTTCTTCAATTTGTGTCACCTCAGTGAATCATTGAAGACAACTGTAATGAAGGCAATGCCATAATATGTCCATAGTAGTAGTAGTAGTACTAGTAGTAGAGGAGTAGTAAAGCTGGAAAAACATTTTCTAAAAGTGTTTAAAAATACACATTTGCATATACATACTATTATTTTGTAAAACTGCTATTTTACAAATTAGCTAAATTTTACAACACAAACTTAAGAAATATTAATCATGTCACAAGTTTTAATTTTAATATTTTGAATGAACTTTGAATTTGATGAAATAAAGTTAGTTGACTGAACCAATACTACCAATTTATCAGTATAATGTTCCAGTGTTTAATTATTGAAAAAGATTAAATAGCATAACATATAGTTGAATAAAGCTGTTCATATGAGCAAGTTTGTACAAGTCATTTTTTGAATGTGACCCTTTCCCAAGCTTTCCATTGATCAGCCACTGATCACTCCACATTGAATTTTGATTCTCAATCTTGACAGCTGAAAGCTGGGAAAGGGCCTACTGCTGCTCACAAGGTAACACAATGAAAGACAAAATGCCACATTAAGAAATAAGAATACAAAACTGTTTTCAATATTATATGTAGATGTTTTATTCAGGGCTTCAGTTGTTTGTCTGGAAGGGCATGTAGGTGATACTTAGGACAGCTTCTATTATGTTGGTCTAACATCTCTGCTCTTCTCACAACTGGCAATACAAATGGATGGCACAGGAACCATATGATGGACAAATCTGTCTGCCATATCAAGGTCAGACAAGAACTCTCCCTGATCTCAAGCATGATTGTTAATATAGACTGGCAGCTGGATATACCCTATATCTTGTTTTGTTGCCACTTGATCTCCAAAAACCACCATCCACTGTTTTACTTCCTGTTCCCCTTTAATCAAAGTGGGTATCACTTAGAAGACCAAACTTCAAAAGGAACCATCTGCTGGTCCATCAGACAGAAACACTTGAGAGTGAGATAAAAATCACTTCTTCTTTTTCTATGTGAGTGTCCATAGTATCACAATTTGCTCTTCTGTAATACTTATTTATTCTGTTACACAGGATATTCTGAAATAGTGAAATTAACCCCAAAAGTTCAGAGATAGAGTATTGGCCAAGTGTTCAGATCTCAGGGTTTATACAGATTCATGTGAGATATAATTTTGGCATAGTTAATAAAAATGATATAAAATTGGGTGTTGCTTGGGGTGAGGGAAGCATTTGTATTTTTTTTGCAGTTTTCTTTTGTCATAAGCAATGTTCTAATATAAAGTTTTAAATTCATAAAAGGTAGACACACATCTTGGTCTTAAGTCAACCATACATACTTTTTAATCAGGTAAATCTTAAAAATCTATGAAGTGTCTACTACTTACTTGACTTCAAATAAATTGATATAAAGTTGTTGAATATATGAAAAATTACATACCAAATTTATTGAATCCATGGATGTAAGATGGACATTTTTGGCTGGCTGTTGTTGAGGCATTTGTATCTCCCCAACAAGTGATCCCATCCCATGTTCTGTTGCACCATACACCACCTAAAAATGGGGTAGTAAATTCGGGATCAATTCTTGTGGTTGTTGCTTATATATATATTATATCTGCTTCAATTATTTTTTGAGGTTACACTTTTGATATGTGATGAAGTTGTTGAAAGCAACATTTCGTGGAAACCACCAACTACAATAATAATAATAATAATAATAATAATAGTAAATTTTCTTTTTATTATTATTATTAGTAGTAGTGGTGACATTAGCCTAAGATAAAATATTTTCAATTTTCAACTACAGTTACTCATGAATTTATGATTCTAAGAATTTGCTTTGTTTTTAATGCCTTCTTGGTTCTAATTCCTATGTGAGAAAATACGTTCAAGTGTTGATGAATATTGGATATTGAAATAGAAGTAATAATTACTTCTGAGTAATAGAAATTAAGCAATTAAATAAAAAATATAAGCAATTGAAACCGAATTTCTTTGTATGAAAATAATCTCAATGATTTCTCACCAAGAAGCAAAACAAAAAACTGTTATAAAATATATACATACTTGTAAAAACTGGAGGATCAGATTTTATATGGGCATAGCATTTTTCCTGTGCAATTTGTAATCTAAGGAGCTGTTGGAGATGGGAACTGCTTTCCACCTTTCAAAAAAAAAAAAATATATATATATATATGTATGTATGTGTGTGTGTGTGTGTGTGATAAAATATAATTTTAAGGTATGCCATATTTATGGGTGAATGTGCACAATATCAGGGACAGAGCATATGTAAATATAAAGATGGACATAGAAGTCAACTTATATATATATATATATATATATATATATATATATAAAAAGTTGACTTCTATGTCCACCTTTATATTATATATATATATATATATATATATATATATATATATATATTATAGGAAATCAGCCAATTCTGATACCTTGTTTCAACCTTTCAGTATTTTAAACCAGAGACTGAAAATTATGTCCTGTTGTATTCATACTAAAAAGTTCCTTTTGAGTTCATATGAAGTGGAATAAAAAGAACATATTTATATTTCATTTAATCCCCCATTGATACCTTTCCAATACACTTGATTTTCTCCTTTTATTTTAATCTAAAATTTATAAGTAGGTTTGTCCAGCATTAATCTTGCCTGAAAAGAGGAAATATTAAAGAAGCTGGGTCTAGTATTCACCATGCGTATATATATATATATATATATATATATATATATATATATAAAATAAAAAGAAAGAACAGTAAGATATATAATCCAGTGTTCTTATAGATATTTTTATTTTTACAAAATAGTGCTCAATGTAAATTTATAGAGCATTAATATTATAAATTAATTATTAAAAAAAAAATATTTTTAAATCAATTCATTTATAATATATATATATATATATATATATATATATATATATATATATATATATTTATATATATATATAAATGATAAAGTGACTAATTATGAAATATCCAAAACAAAGAAAGATGGAGTATATGAAAACCAGTTGGATGTTTAAATTTTTATTCAGTTGGCAATGCTTTGTTCAATGAAAACATCATCAGGTTAAGTTCAACTGAAAAAAATGAAACAAAAATCATTACCATGACAACCTTACTACATTTACTTTCTGAAGTTTGAGTATCAGTAACAAAACTTCCATTGATAGAAAAGAAGGATATAGATAAATACCTTTGTCAGATTTTATGGTTTATTTTTAAGTGTTTTATTGCAGATTGTAAGAATTCTGGAAAATATTTCTTTCTGATTAATATGTCTTTAATTTAATTACATTGGAATCTTGCAGCTGAAATGTAAAATGAATTCAGCTAACAACTTATATTTGCAAAAATTTATTGAAAAAGAATTTCTAAATCATTATGAGAAAAATATTCAGTTTCTTTAATCTTTCTTAAATATTAAATTGCATGATAAAGTTAAATTGATAATGAACAAACATTTTGCTAGAGTCATGTGATTCACCAACATCAAAATATTTGATAGAAGCAATGTATTTCTTTATAACATTAACTTAAATGTAATAAAGTCAAATTTTATTCTCATTGTCACCAGTAAATCATAAATTTTATTTATCTAAACAACTTCTATTTACCTTTGAATTTCTACAGAAAAAAAATAATTTACCTTTATTTTAAATTTTTGTTTATATTTTATTTTATTGTATTTCTATTTTAATTTACACATATATTACATGCACACACACATAAAAAGAAATATAGTTTTAAGGTATGCTATATTTATGGGATAAAGTGCTAAATATCAGAGATAGACTATATGTAAATATAAATATAAAAGTGAACATTGACATCAACACTTAGAGGCAACAGTCTGTCTCATGCTAAATACAAAGTGTTATTTTTTCCTCCAAGCAGAGTTTGCAGTTTTTGAATTGATTGTTGTAGGCTGATGTTCTTTTCTTTATTTTCCATGATATTTTTGGTATGATTTGCTTTTAGTTTTTAATTTCCCAGATATACTTGGAAAGCACTGCGTTGTTCGCATATTTACTATTTATGAATAGTAACTCAACTTAAATTAATATATCTGAATCCTGGAAGATATTAAATTCCTATACTTGGAAAAAAGCTAAAGTTCCATGTTTGTACAAACCTTGAAGTTGCTAAAGGTTTCGAACATCGGAATTTAGTTTAGCATCTTTCAGAATTCAGACATGCAAATTTATTTTTTTTCAACATTAGAAGACAAGATTATAGCATCCTTCAGGGTTCAGGGCATGGGAATTTAGCATCTTTAAGGATTCAGGATATGGTAATTTAGCATCCTTTAAGGTTCAAGACATGGAAATTTAGTATCTTCCAGGATTCAGAATATGGGAATTCAGTATCTTTCAGGGTTCATGACATGGGAATTTAGCATCCTCCAGAGTTCAGAACATGGGAATATAGCATCATTCATGATTCAAGACATAGAAATTTAGCATCTTTCAGGGTTCAGGACATGGGAATATAGTATCATTCATGATTCAGGATATGGGAATTTAGTATCTTTCAGGGTTCAGGACATGGGAATTTAGCATACTTCAGGGTTCAGGACATGGGAGTATCGCATCATTCATGATTCAGGATATGGGAATTGAGCATCTTTTAGGGTTCAGGACATGGGAATTTAGTATCTTTCAGGGTTCAGGACATGGGAATTAGCATCATTCAGGATTCAGGATATGGGAATTTAGCATCTTTCAGGGT